ACCCGCGGCCTGCATACACCACAGGTAGGGGGTGAGAAAGCCTACAGCGGCAGACTTGCTTTAGAGTGCATGCAGAATTATGCGATGGCAGCGGATGAGATGGCACCGTCAGATTTTCAGGCACCCGCAGCGAACTGTCTTTCTTCTCTCTCATCGTCATGAGCCGCGAACGGGCTTCTCTGACAGCCTTCCGTTGAGATTCGAAAAAAGGACGATCAAACACATGTCCAAGGTACGAGAAACCCTCTTCCCGCGGTCAGAAAGACTCCCGTTGCCGCCGTGGCTTTTTTCGCAGGAGCCTAGTAATACGCAGCATGAACAGTTCCTGCCTTTCGAGGCCTAGCTCGGAGGCGAACTCTTCCTCACGTCGTGTGTGCCATGGCGCGGCCAGGAACCAATTTCGTGTCGCGATTCCGTTCCGCGACCAGCTCACCAAGCAAAGGCCGCGAAAAAGAGCGATTGGACCTTGGAGCACCGCCGAACTCGCCGAACTAGCAAAACGTTAACGGGAGCCGTGGGGACAGATACCGCTTACGATGTAACGACATTCCGTGGTGCGTGGATGTGGGATGAGTGAGTTTCCCATCTTTAGTTTAGAGGGTGGCGTTAAGATAAAGTTTTCCCCTTACGTCCGCAGCGCAGTAGTATAGGGTGGCTCCTATAAAAAAGCCTAGGGTAGCTCCTATAAAAAGTATCTACTTATAGTATTAATTAAGCTAAAACTTTACTTTATTTATTATTTACTTTATTATTATTACTATATAGCTATATTTACCCCTATATTTTAACCTTTATTTCTCTCTCTTTTTATTAATCTTTCTTTAAAGTATTAATAGCTAATAGGGTACTAAAGATATTATTTCTATATATAGTATAGCTTAGTATATTAAGGTAGCTAACTAAATAGTATTTATCTTAATAAGTATTATTATATATATAATAATATATATTTAATAGAGTTTTATAATTTAATTAAATAGTAGTTTAAATAGTAATAGTAATATTATCTTAAAGCTATATATTATAGAGGAGAAGCTAAATTAAATTACCTTTAAAATAATAAAGCTTTTAAAGTATAATACCCTTATTACTAAAGAAGACTTTAAAGTAATATTTATTTTATTTAGTTATAGCCTTAAGGTTATAAATATTATTTTAAAAATTTTTATAAAAAGCTTAAATTATTATTACTATAGAAGTAATAAGCATTATTTTAAATCTTAAAGGAGATAATAAATAAAAAAGCTTAAATAAAAAGAAAAATAAAAAAGAAAGAATTTAATTAAGCTTTATTACTTTATAATTTTATTAAATAAAGTATAAAGACCTAAATAAATAAAGCTATTTATAATTACCTTTTAAGTAAACTATATACTTAAAGTTTAAATTTTAATAATTTACTTTTAGGTTAAACTAAGAGGGAACCTATTTATATATAATACTAGGAATAGTACTAATTTTATTACTATATTAAGTTAGAATACTAGTTATATAGCGTATAAATATGCTTTACTTATATACCTCAGTCTGCAGCGCGGTGCGTGGCGCTAATCCCAAAAGAGGCTTAGGATGAGGGAGTGAACATGCACCGTTACAACATCCCATGAGCCACTCAGCAGCCGCTGCGGCAGTGGCTTGTTCCTCTTTTTTTTGCCCTCCCTATGAGTCGACGCTAGACGGCGTTATCTTTCCCTAGAGAGTCGCGGAGGATCTCAGATGGGATGTTCTTGAAGGTCAAGGGCAGACCTGAACTGAACACATGATGAGGAGAGACAGATCTCTAGCAAGGGATTAAAAAGTCGAAACTTGGAGGGTCCAAAGGAGCGCCCCTCGTATCTCGTCTGATGTCGTTGATCTGAAGGGTCGGTGATCTTCGCTGGGAAGACGCATCAGATGAGGTGAGTTGCGGGAGGGGAAAAGGGGATTGGCAAGCGAGGAGGAGGCGAAAACGTGTTGCTTCCTCCTTCGGCGAGCTCAGGTCCAATCAATCCAATGATCAATCGCAGGCCGAGCAAGCGAGAGCAAAGAAAAATCAAGGAGCGGGTTCGAAAGATGATCAGCAGGAGCGCTGATCAGCCACACCATCCCGCAGATAACGCAAGCCAGGGAGGGAGAGAGAGGGGAAACCCGAAGTGATCGGTGATGGCCAACGAGAGGGGTTTCCTGTCAATCATTGTCGAAATGTAGCCGGCTGTGCGAGAGTGAGTTGAATGAAAGCGAGTGAGGAGAATATGCGACGACGCCATGCCGCACCCCTCTCGACATGGTCGTCTGGCGGTGTTTGAGATATCGTCGTTGATGTGGGTGGTTAATTGGTTACATGTCTGCATCTCCCGACCGGCAGCAAAATGAGTTTGTAAAGAAGACGTACCGTGGTGTTGAAAAGAGAAACGCAAGCGCGATGGCGAGAAGACGCAGCTATCCATTTCCAGCGTGTACTGGGGTGAGAATACGTACGTTTCAGGACAAGTTCAAAGGTAGAGTTTGGGGTTCACCAATGACCAGATCTGACTGTATTCGCGACGACGACAGCAGAGACATCTCGAACAAGCGAGACAAACACATTATCGCGATCAGCATCGATAAAAGACGACATGAAACACACGGCCTCGCGCCCTGTGGAACGTATCTGAAGCCGTAGCGTGATGCCCGCGTTAACGCCGGCCGGGATACGTTGAGTTTTGAGCATGAGGATGATGATGTTGATGATGATGATGATAAGCACCGCCTTTTTTCAACGGCCTAAGGAACATCAGACGTATGTGTTATGAGCACGTCCATTAAGGTAGGTTATGTGAGGTACGCAGCATATTAAGGTAGTGACTTCCATGTTCAGACGACGACCGGATGACGTATTTCTGTCGCCCAATGTGCGCCCGTCCCTAAGGTACCTACCTACCTTACCGGATGGTGGTCGTTTTAGCGGTCGCAGCGCCTGTGCGCGCCGTTGTGCATGAGAGAAAGTGAGATGATGAGATCCCTCCAAGCAGGAGACCCTGGATTATCAAGTTCAAGGTCAGGTACCTTCGGATGGTTCGGTACGTATTGAGATATCGACAAGCATCTTTCCAGGTTGAGATCTTGAGGAAACAGCGGACAGTTGGTGGTGGAAACGGGAGGAGGGAAAGGTGCTGAATAAGGAAGCGACCAGCTTCATCATCGGTCTGGCACTGGCAATGGCACTGGCAAGCTTCAAAAATGGAAGTCCAAGGTCCTGGCAAGCGAACCGGGAAAAGAGAGCTGCCCGACGAGCATCTATCATGGAACCTGGTCCCTACACTGCCTTGTTCATCCTGGTCCCTGCCTTTCGATAGGTCATCAGCCTGGTTGAACCAACCGCCAATCTTCTTCTTCTTTTGCTTGCTGCCTTTTTTTTTACGTTTTTCCTCGTGACTCCATCCTTTTTTTTTGCTGTGAATTCCGTTTCCAAAGTGGACTCGTCAGGCTCCAACGACGACGACAACAACAACAACTATCACCAATTTCGCCCGCCTCGTTTCTTATTCCTCATTCTCTGCTTCGCATGACTAGGGATACTCACCAAAAACATACACACTCACAACCTAACACAAACACGAAGCAAGACTAGCGCAGCCTCACCGATCAAGAGAGGTGATTTTGACATGCTTCTTCCGCTGCCGGGGGACGGACACTGGCGCATCCGAACCTGTTGCCAAAGTGCCAAGTGGAATTGGAATGACGAACCCTTTGCTTCTTCGGGGTACCTTGCTTCAGCACCGACACGTCGGGTTCTTTTCTTTAGGTTTGAGTAGCTTTCTCTCGAGTTCCTCAATAATTGAGTAATCGTGTGGGATTTGCATTTCGACCCGCGCTGCCTTGGTGAGCAATAGACGCCCGCGCCGGCAACGCTTGGAACCTCGGCGTCTGTTCTCCATCTTGCATCGTACCGCACCGCATCGCATCGCATCGAATCTGTCCGCATATGCCCTCGTTTTCTGTCTTCATCTACGTATCCGCTTGCCGAGCCACACTCATGCTGCGGATAGGTATACCACCCTCCATCTGAGGTGAGCCTGGCCTGCCTTCGCACTCATTCTCTTCCTCATCCTCATCCTCATCCTCACTGGCATGCGCCTGATCCATCTCGCTGGTCATACTGCCACTTTTATCCCTCTATTCGGTCTAGTCACCGGGTCCCCAAGAATTCCTCAGCTTTCCATCTTCAGACATGCAGAGACCTGCAAGGCACCGTCCTCATTCCTCACGCCGCGCCCGGCTTGATGAGTATTGACTTAACCACCCCACACGCACACACGCACACACACACCCTTGAACCGCGAAGCCACTACGTACTTTGGGTTACGAACCGCGAGGTACCTCGTAGTGTGGCTCACGACGCACCCCTCTTCCCACTAGCTCCCCTGCCTGTTCTCATCTATTCTTCTTTGAGCTCCGATCGTCAGGGACCTTGGCCCGCGTGCGCTGCCAATCCGGTCCCCAAATCCACTTCTGCGGTGTGCGGTGCGGTGTGTGCAGACATGTCTCTCAGTTACTCTTTCCTGCTCGCTGCTCCGTTGCCGGTTGCTCATCCCATCTCCACGCTTGGCAGGCAGATGCGTTGTGGCTCCCACACCCCTCCAAAAGCCTGGTTTCGGTCTTCATCGAGTTTTATAATAAGACCTTATGCCCGCTTTCGTTTCCTCGACCTCATCCCAGTCCACTCTGATCTTCCTCAACCCAACTCCCGATCCATGTCCCACACTCCTTAAACACTTTTAAGTATTGCATACCTGTGTGGTAACCTTGTGGTAATATCATATCATCCTACGGCTTTCGACTCATAAGCCTTACCTCATCCTCAGCTCTTTACACTCTAGAGCTTCCTTCTCTCATATCATATCCCGACATTCCGGATCAGGAACAGTAGGAAGGAATAACGACACACACTTATATATAACACATCGGCCATCCACGACAGCCAACGACATTTGGCTCATCAACACCTCGACGGGTCTTCACTCATACACACACACATCACAATGTCACCATCACCAAGCCAATGCAGTCGTCGTCGCCCCGAGGCACACACTCGCAAGCCATCACTCACGAACTCCGTCTCAAGCAATGACTCCTCATCAACACAATCAACCCGTTCATCTGGAACCATCCGCCACAGCAGAGTCCTCGACTTCGACCCTCTCTCACTACACCCGACCTTCCAACCACCACCAGGCCGCCTCTTCGAGCGGCCCCTCATCCACAACTCCCAGACCATCGAGGATGAGGTGATCAACTCCTACTTCTCTTCTCAAGAAGCCCTGGCCGAAGAACAGGCCAAGGCGTCTTTCGCCGCCGCCATCCCGAACATGCCCGCACCACCCGTCGACTCACCCCGCACTCCGATCCAGCAAGCCGAGCGCTCCCGTGAGCACGCCGCCGAGGGTGACGACTACTTCCTCTTCAAGGTCCAGCAACACATCGCCGCCACCCGACCCCAGCTCCCAAGGTCCCACTGGTCCGAGTCGACGGTCCAGACCCTCGACATGTCTTCGCCGGACGAGGACGACGAGGATGCCTCCGAGGAAAGCTTCGTCGACGAGGAGAGGCCAGTACGGGAATCCAGGTGGCAGAACTTCTCCCACAAGCGCAACTCTCCAGTAAAGCGACCCCAAATGAAGTCCCTCGACAGCGTCGAAGACTTCCTCAAGCGCGGCGGGTGGAAGAGGCGCGGCATCGTCTTCGAGAACGACGGCACCCGGCAATCCGACAGCAGCTTGTTCTAAGCTCACTCACAATCACCACTCACCACCAACAACAACCTCACTCACTATCAATCTCATTTCTTTTTGGTATCTCTTTTCTCGGAAGCGGGCAAACAAAAACTGGCGGGGAAACGCGACTTGATTTATTTGGCACCGGCTCTTTATACGCCTTGACGACACAAAAAGCAGCGGGCGTTTTATTCGGACTTGTTTCTCCATCTACAGCAAGCCTTTTGTGTTTACTCGGCCTTCCGATTCAATCTGGATTATCAGATTCACACAACACTTCAGATTTTTTTTACTCTTTTTTTATCGGATTTTGTAAGACTACGACGAATCTTCTCTGGAAAGGTCCGAGGACATTGGACTGGACGGTTTGGGGTAGGAGTTTCTTCGTCATTACGTCATTTTTGGGGTCATACACAAAAAAGGGGATCGGTTCTTTACGCACAGGCAACTGTCAACCGGGGGGTGGTGGTGAACACGAAGAGGGAAAGAGGCCCGAACGCGAACAAGCGCGGGCAACCAGCAATATACCATATAGCATCATCTTCATATTGTAATTTTATTCAAACCTGTCAGCATGAGCAATTGCTTCAAGCCATCATCATCATCTCATTCACTCTTCAATCCCTCTTACCGTGAATCGCGATCGCATGTGCAGCAGTTCCCCGGCAAAAAACTTTTGGGGAAGATGACGGTTTGAATCAAGGCATTGCGTACCAGGGAACCGCTGTCAGTCACACTCACACTCAATCACACACTGGGGAAGAAAAATCGGACACCTCTGACTTCACACTTCTTTCCAATGTCACATTGGTCATGACCACACGATGATCGTTCTCGTGCCGAGCTCTCCGCCAGGATATCGAGAGTAATTCACACAGCCACATGTGAATGGCATGAACCGAATGATGTCGAAAAAGCTTCCAATCGCCTTACGGAGAACCGGGGTTAACCGTCCCTTCAAACTCAGAAAGAAGGCCCTGGTCGGGTTGGGCATCTCTAAATCGTCCCATCATTCATTCACTTCCACCCCATGTCGTCGCGTCCCCGTCACCTGAACTTTTTCGGAACCTCCCTTGCTCTACTGTGCCTTACAGTAGACTGCATCCCGTAAGCCGCAAAAGAATATGTAAGGTACCGCCGCCTCATCCGCGGGGGACGGACTGACTGATTGCTTGCAGCGAACCGGCTCCATCGTTGGGCGCGCGTGACAACTTTTTTCTCGCTAGCTCGGCCAGGCCCAGGAACGTTCGTGCTAAGCTGAAAACCCCATCCATCCCCTGTCGAACGCCCGGATCCGAAGGTGGTGGGTTAGCTAGCTCTGTGAAGAGAAAGAGACGACGATGTTGGGCAAACTTTCACGCGATTCTCCAATTTCCGACGAACCCTCCCCCCCATCATTTTCTCACCGACGGCGAGAGCGACAGGCCGACATCAAATGTTTGCCCCGCTGAATACGCTCAGCAGGCGGAAACATCTTCAGCCGAACAAGGCAGCCAAGAAAGGCCCGAAAATCTTTTCGAAGGTCCTCTCCATACGGTTGATCATCGTCAGCCTCATCAGTCGCTAAAAAGTCTCCTCTGGTTGGCTCAATGTCGATGACCCGCCCGGGTGGTCTCTCATCCGCACTGACGACGGTCCCACGGTATCCATCTGGCGGAAATAGCCCGACCTGACAAAACTCCAGTGGAAGAAGAAAAAGTATCATCTTCACGAGTCGCCGCCGAACAAAGACGAGGGAAAAAAAAATGCTTGCCGGCCAAGCCCGGAGGTAAGGTAGCCCGTAGCGTAGCCAAGAACACTACCAGCCAGCCCAATGGGACGTCGAAGAAGGTCTCCGAATTCGACCCCGGTCATGGGTTCAGCTGGGGCACTTACACCACCGGTCTCCGCGCCGGCCGGTCGTCGCGGGCTCGGCTTTTCTCACGGTGGTGGTGATGATTATGAATCAGTCATCCCGTCACATTGTAAGTTTGGACGCGTGCCCGAACGAAGACGTTTCCCACGTGGGCTGTGTCAAATTGTTTCAAAAGGTTCAAAGGACATAATACGCGGATGCGACGTTGCGGAAGTGCTGGGAAGACAAAACATTGAACGCAACCGTAATTCAGATCACATGCCTTCGATTAAGCTTTGCCTACGTGCCGCGTCGTCGTCGTGGCGGAGGCTTCTCGATGGTACCTGAGCCAGGATACGACGTTAGAATGGAATTCATTCAGAGCTTCGTGAACAGAGTTCAGCGGGACAAGGGCTCCGGGACGAAGGAGGGGACCAAGCTCCTATCTCTTTACGGCCGCGGGTTTACTCATCATGGGACGGCATCGCGACCATCGTGATAAGGCTTCCGGTGATGATCTTGATTAGCTGGTTTACGGACCGTGGCTTCTCTTCACAAGAAACAAGTGCGTGGACATGCCACATCCCGAAGAGATGGGATTGTCAAACTTGTCAAAGGTGAGCATGGTGCAGGATCTCATCAACTGAGACAATCGATAATCAACTGGGCCGGCCTTACAAAAGCGCCCATCAAATCCGGGTAGATGGCGGCCGGCGACCGTTTGCGCTTTTCTTGGCTGCCTCCGGAAGAGGCGTCCTTTGAAGTTTGGCAGAGATCTCACCGGAGGCGGTCAATCGGCGGAGCACGGTCGTCTAGTGCTTTTCGTAAGGCGGTTGGTTCCTGGATCTACTCCGTCGACTTTGGTGCGCTTTCCGCGGCGGAGACGGAGGGAAGAGCATCGTGGGCACCATTTCATCGGTACCTTGCAGAGGATTGACGGATTTGCAATGCAGCCTGAGTCAAACAGATGGATTCGGTCCGCCAGACTTGCTGAGCTAAGGCCGCGCGGCGGACTGGTCGGTGAGTGAGTGATTGACAGAGTCAGCAGAATGCAGATCAAACCCGAGGCCTTGGATCCGAGGCCCGTTTGAAATTTTCTTACCTCTCATGACGATGACTTCACTCCTCGTCTCAACTTTGATGGAGAATGGGGGAGGGCCACGAAGTAGGTATCACGGATAGCCCTGGAAATTAGATGAAGAAGAGCGGTATGACGGGACAATGACATTGACTGAGGAGCATGCCATGAGTCGTGAGAGCTTCGAGGTTGGGGTCTGTGCTCTTGCTTCAATGGGATCGTGAGCGGCAGACATTTGCCGGGTCGGCGACATCAGCATCACGAAGACAGCATTATTGTCGTGCGGCTACGAGATTGTGCGTGTAAGCAAATGTCGGGAATATTGAAGGATGAGACCGTTTGAGGCTGAGCTGCTATCATCTCAGACAATGCGCTTGACGTGTGGCAAATGAGATGTCGTCGTCGACGATGCGCAAGAAGGAAAAAAAACAGCTCCCCCAGCACTTTTTCGTCAGATGTGGGTAGCATAGCTAACACACCCCAGTCTCGCCCTGACTGTTGAAGGATGAGGCTGGTGCAGTCCGGTCTGCGTTGCCCGGGAAGAGGTCAACAAGATAGCGAGCAGGGAATACGGATTTGGGGGCCTTGGAACATTATCTGAGCCAGACTATCGGTTTCACCGGCAGGCATCTTCCATCTTGTCGTCCCTTCTTTTTTCTTCTTCCCATTAAAACCCCTGACGGGATCCCGGGGCCTCGATCAGGGAAACGCTGGCGAAAGAGATGGAAATACGGAAATATGATGAAAGACACGGAGATATGACGACGAAAAGAGAACGAGAAAAAGAAAAGGACACGCCGCTTCGGTACAGATGCTCCGTGCTCGATACCGGGAAACCCAACCAACAGGCATCGGACTGGACAGATACGGAAGTGTGGTCGGGATGCGGCACGTCCGCCCAGCCAATATCCGAATCTGTTTCCCTGATATCCCCAGTAATTAAGCTACATTCCGAAGTCCTTACCAGCGCCATCTTCGCATGACCCAAAGGAATACCTGTCAGTCTCTCCGACTCTCCGGTTACCGTCCCTTTTCGCAAATATCTGACGTTAGCCTCATCTACTTTCACGGTCCCATGATCTAACAACACCCCTGGTCTAGCTCAGGTGGATAGGGCAGGATGCTCCGTTTCCTTGGCTAGCTTCTGCGGCTATTTCTGGGTAAAATGTCGACAAGACCTTTTCTCTTTACGAGAACGGACGAGCGCCGGGCTTTGAAATCCGATTCGGAAGTTCCTTCTGTGCCAGGGAAGCTCGTATCTTCGGACGGGATCGCGATGTGGCCCCGCTGTCAAAAAGCCGTCGTAACCGCGCCAGGCGTTTCGGACGGTGGAGGTGCGGTGGCCTCCCGCGGCGGAGACTGGTCGGTTTAAGTGCACGCCATTCTTAACGACGGGACTATCAGACGCGGCGGCCATCTGCCAAGTGCTGCGAACCGGTCTTGAACGATGTGGAGGGGGATCGCTGATCGTGATGTCGGCAAACCCGTCGGCTTGGTACGGTTGAAGTCACGAAGGCGAATGTCACGACAGGTGACGGCGGAGGCGCTGTTCTCTTGCTTGGACAACATCACCGCACGGAGTGATGCAGGTCATGGATCATTACAAAGTCGTTAAGTTGTAGGGTGTCTGGTTCACGTAAGTCCAAGCCGCGATATGTCGGCACTCAGCTTCCGTCCCTGCATCATCTCCGCCATCACTTTGCCCGTCCCAAGACTCAAGCTAATACCCCAAGGCCCGTGACCGGCCGCAACGTAGACGCCCCCGTCGGCGCCGGACCGCGTCGAGACCCCGCCCCCGAGACGACCGTCCGGGATGCGGGTTAAGATCGGTGCTCCGGAGGTTGTGACGGGACGGAAGCAGAGACCTTGGCGGACGACTTTGAGCTCGCCTTCCGGGACGTTAACGATTCGCTCGGCCGTTTCCTTCAGCTGGTTTATTGCGGCTGCTGATACCGGCGTCTGGCCTGGGAGCTCCGGGAGAGCGAGCGACGGGGCATTGACGCCGGCGATGTAGACGTGCCCGCCTACACGGGAGAACAGTTCCGGGGAGAAGCCGGCGCCGTCGGTGCTGAAGATGGCGTGGCAGCCTGTTTTCGTCCGATCGTCGCCTGGGGGCTTGACGACAAGTGAATGACCGGCCAGGCTGGAGACGGGCAGTTCGAGCGACGCGCCAGGGAAGAGCTGGGAGAAGACGCGGGGCGACCAGGCGCCTGCCGCGATCACCAGACGGGTACAGGGCACGTCTGTCTCGGTGGAGGAAGTGGTGTCGCCTATGCGTACCGTGGAGAGCTCGCCGCGGAGGTCGGTGTTCACGGAGAGGACTGTAGCTGGGTGGTGGAGGTGTACGCCCTCTGCCTTGCAGGTTTCGAGCAGGAAGTTGCAGAGACGGAGGGGATCCCTGGACTCATGTTAGGTTTCAAGTGTATTGAAGAGGTGTCATTGCACATGGATACGCACACTTGGCCGGTGGATTCCGAGTCTCCGATGACTTGGACATCGTCACCGGCCGCACGACGCAACCATGAAGGACCATCGTCAGGCGTCTCCACGGCTTCGACGACTTCCGCTCGACTGCCACCTTCACTCAGCCATTTGTCGCCGTTTTTGTCCTTCTTGGCAGGCGCGGCTGAGTGGCTATATGTCGTGCTCGTCGACCATCCCCATCTTTCCCTTCCGTTGTTTTCCTCAGCGAGCTTCTTGTGCTCATCGAAACTCAGCGCTCCGAGGGATGCAGATGAGGGCGAGAACCAGTCTCGCGCCATGAAGCCGCCAGCATAGCCAGACGCCGAGGCGAAGAGCTCCGGCGACGCTTCCACAAGATGGATTGTCGAGCCGGGCTGATGATCTGCCAGGTAATGAGCTATCGAGAGGCCAATGATGCCAGAACCCACGATAACCGTTGAACTCATTGTGAAAGCATTTGAGAATCAAGGGAGGGATGTTGAACAATGACGTTATTGCTCGGGGAGCTTTCCAAACGGCACCGAGCTGGGACCCCGCCATGCTGATAAGATAAGGACTTCTGTTGCAGCTGGCCCCGCTCCACCACACAGAGGGGCGTTCGGATGGCGCCTCGAGCCGTGCAGAGACTTCTCCGTGGTGGTGAACTTGTTACACAAAGCTGTCCCTCAACTCTGTCTCATTGCACAACAGACACAATGGCTTCGAAAGTGATTATCGTTACCGGCGCAAGCCGTGGCATCGGTCTGGCCATTGCGCAATACCTTCTAAAGGACTCCCACAAGGTTGTTTTGGCGGCGAGGTCTAAGGATCAGCTAGAGGCAATCAAAACGGCGCATCCCGGACAGGTCGAGTACGTCGCGGGAGACTTGGGTGATATCAAGGTGAGGAAGCATCGGCGGCCACCAGCCGAAGGCAAGGTACTGACGGCTTCAGACCATCCCAAAGATCGCCGAGACTGCCATCAAGGCTTTTGGTAAGATTGATGGAATTGTGGTCAATCACGGCGTGTTGGAGCCCGTTACTCGTTTGGAACACTTCGACATCGAGGCTTGGCGAAAAGCATATGACATCAATGTGTTCAGCGGACTCGCATTAGTAAGGAAGAAAGTTTGTGAACGGCATTGCATTATATCTAACTACGATCAAAGGTGCAAGCCGCTCTTCCCGAGCTGCGCAAGTCCAAGGGTTGCGTCCTTTGGGTTTCCTCCGGTGCGGCCACTGGCGCGTACACCGCATGGGGAGCGTACGGCACCTCCAAAGCCGCCGTGAACCACCTCTCAACCCACTTGGCAGTAGAGGAGCCCGAGATCACCAGCATCGCCATCAGCCCCGGCCGCGTCGACACGGCCATGCAAAAGGTTATCCGCGACACCGGCAAGGGCCACATGGCCGAGAAGGACCACGCCTCTTTCGTGTCCGGCTTCGACAAGGGCGAGCTCCTCAAGCCCGAGCAGCCTGGCAATGTAATGGCGCGCTTCGTGGTCAAGCCCCAGCACGACCTGTCTGGCAAGTACTTCAAGTAGGTTGCACCGCTCCGTGTCAATTCCGACAAGCATGCTGACCCATTACAGGTGGCAAGCCGGAGAGCTTTCGGCGTTCCAAGAATGAATGGTAGAGATTGTTCACTGAGGAGTCCAATGTTAGCCAACTGCTTGAGCTAGTGAGAGCAAATAGAAAACATTTTAGACATGATGCCTCAGTCGAAAGATGAAAAGCTCATATTTGATTCCACATTGTGTATTCAGGATTAGCATGGAATATGTTTCATCATCATCGGCAACTTCGCGAAGAAAAGAGAGAAAATTTGCGCCTACCTTGAACAAGAGAGCTGTAGACAGGTCGTGAGTCGCGTCCCTCACACCCTGAGCCATTACCCATTCAGCATCATTTCGAGCCCGCGCATCTCTGCCGACCAGGAAAAATCGCGTCGTGAAGTCATTGCTCAAGGATGATCGTGTCCGCGTCTTGGTAAGTTGGTACTTGGTAGCACATTCTGATCTGAAAGTCTTGTTAGCGGATGCAAGTCAAAGAAGCAACCAGCAAGAAGAAAGCTCGAGGTGACAAGTCAGAGAAGTCCGTTTGGCAGGACGGTCATTCACCACTGTATGAGGGGAGTTATTCCTCGTAAGTTTGGGGCGACAACAGAGCTCATCAGGTCGACGAGGGGAGGCAAGTTGAGAAGAAAAAGGACCTACCAAAGTCAATCTGGACGAAGCGCAGAGACGCCAGCAGCTCGCATAAAGGAGCGCATGGTGATTGCCGTCTCTGCTGTTTGGTGATGCAAGAGGAAGGAAGCAAGAAGATGCCGTCAAAAATTCGATTTTTAAGGGACGAAAAAATTTGGAGTGATTGGAGAATCTGGCCCGTGCGGTGCGGAGCGTCGGAAGCTTCTTTCACCGAGCGCCGTGTGTGACTGGTCAAGGTAAAGTGGGGCATCGGGCCCAGTCAGATTGCAGCTTAAAAAAAGTCGGCAGGCGCTGTGGCTCGCGCTGGCCGGGCGCGCGCGCGGGGGGTTCAAATGCAGTTGATGTCCCGCGTCCAAACAGCATAAAAGACCCCACCAACAACAGCCGCCGTGAGTGAGCCACATTGTCCCGCGATGCTTCACATGCCCGCTCCGCCCCTGACACTTTCACCGCCAACTACATCCGATTTCCGCGTATAAACCGGCTTCATACTTTGACGACCACTCTTCAAGGTTCTTCCTTTTCCGTCTGTTTTGGAAGTTTGGGCTTAAAGCTACTACTTATCTCATTGTTCATACCCGCAAAATACACTCGACTCATTCCATTCACACCTCACCTCGCAACATGTCCGATCACGATATCGCGGGTAAGTTATGCGCAGTTTTCTCAAGCCCGTTCTACCCTGAATACGCTTTCCCATCCAAAAACAAAGTTAGACACGAGCCAACCATTGCTGGCGCCCACCTGGCTGTCACCTTGGTGGTTTCTACCAAGTTTTCCGTTACCCATCATGTATAAGACGCTTCTTTCTGTACCACTCACTTCGTCTTTTCTGTATCGAAACCTTGCATCACTTCAAAATGAACGTCGACATATACTTCTGCAACGGCTCCGGTACTCGTTTCCTATCTCTCGCACCAATACGTTTTGTTCTCTGGATTTGTCGCTGACGTAACATCGCAGGCAACGATGACTTGTCCTTGCCCAAGGGTAAGTTCTTCCCCTGGTCGCCGTTGATGGGAGCAGATCTCTCAAGACTGACTATGACCCCATCGCTGCATCGATGGAAGCTAATACCTCCACAGCCACCGTCCAGAAGATCGTCACGGAGATCCTGCCGGCCTCTCAAGGGGTGGCGTTCTCTAAGGAGGCTCGCGACTTGCTCATCGAGTGCTGCGTCGAGTTCATCACCCTGATTTCGTCCGAGGCAAACGAAATCTCGGAGAAAGAGGCCAAGAAGACCATCGCTTGCGATCACATTACCAAAGCACTCGAACAACTGGGCTTCTCAGACTACGTCCCCGCCGTGCTCGAGGCGGCGGCAGAGCACAAAGAAGTGCAAAAGGTACGTCACCAGCCGCCCTATCCCTGTAGTCGCACAACAGGAATGACTGACATTTGCTGCAGGGACGGGAGAAGAAGGCAAACAAGTTCGCCAACAGCGCCATTCCTCTCGAGGAGTTGGAGAGGATGCAACGGGAGGCTTTCGAGGACGCTGCCAACAGGCACGCTTGAATGCGGTCTGCTAGGCGTTTTGTTACTTGGATTATTTTCTTATCTTTTCCGGCATGGGTACGGCGTTTGGGTCAACACTTAGGGACGGGTCATAACGAATTCACCGCGCTGACGAATGGATGATTCCGGTTTTTGTTGCTACGGGAAGGGCGACATATCGATAGCATGGCCTTCATCGACGATAGCATGTACCCGAACGGGTCTTCCGCATGGCTAGAAAGCCTGCGGAGTGTCGAGTCCGCATCATACACACAAACAATCATATTTTTCGTTTGCATCGACCCGAGGCCGTTCCGTCCTATCTACATAAGTGAACGTGTTGTAGATTCCTTGTTGATATCGTAAGCATCCCTTCATTACTGCCATGTCGCCCCCAAATCAAAAACGCCGTAGATCCCGTATATATGGCCAGAGACATCTCGTCCGAGCAACCGATCCACCCAAAATTTCCCGAGACACTTCACCACAATCGTCGTTGGTAGTAAACCGGCTGCTCCCCTTGCGACAAACGCTTGATCTCCTCCTTGATCAGCCTCCTCCTTTCGGCACGGCTGATGGGCTTCTCGCTGGCGGCATCTGGGTCTGGGTGCTTCTGGTCCTTGACCTTCCACCCCTCGATGTTTCTCTCCCTCTCATCCATCTTCTCCAGGTCATCTTTGCTCACGCCAGGCTCTTCTCTCTCGGAGGGCATCATCTTCTTCCACATATCCGAAGTCCAGCCCGCCTTCTTCTGTCCGGCGAGCTTCTTTGGTTGTTGCTGGTGCTCGGGCACGGAGGGGTTCACCTCGATGACGATCTGGTCCTGCTTTCCGCCCCCATACAGCGGCACGTTCTGGCCATTCCCAGGGACGTTCTTGAGGTGTTCAGGCACGACGTACGACGTCTTGGGCGAGGGCCTCGGGTCTCGGTCAGGCTTGATGGCTTCCCGCAACTGGCTGAGGGTTCGCTGCTGGATCACGTATCCACTGAGGAAGAGTGCGGCAGTACATGAAATAACTACAATGATGGTGTGCGTTTGCTCATGCGGAACGGCCGCATGCGCGTACGCGTTGGAGGTTAGCTGTTTGCTCACTTCCTCGGGACGGGGCTGGAATGCGGGAACGGGCGGGTGTTACCGATGGCCGACGACAGCAGAACTGAGACTTGAGATGATGTGAGGAGCACCATGATGGCTGCAAAAACGTCGGGTTTTCTGTCTATGGTGATTTTGATAAAGGCTGCTAGATCGATCAATTTGTCTGAGAGGGATTTGCTGTGTTTAAACTCGTCGATAGAGACGCCATTCGTCTCCTGATTGATGTCTCAACGCCAAATGTGACGCGGCTCAGCAGCGAACTTGGAAGTGGGCTGTTTACTTGGTTCGCGTGGCAACTATCGATAAGCTTTCCGTAATTGGTGGCCAGACGCCAACTTTTTTTTGGCCCCGAACGTCACGTCTGGGAAGCTAGCTCTCGCGTCGCATCAGTACCACCCCACCTACGGATTTACCATCGATCGATCAACTTGACAAGCTCTTGCCTCGAGGTCCAAGATTCGCGACAATACCTCCATACAAAACCGAGAAACGAACAACACCCCAAACCTCTCGCTCGAGCCGTACCGTCGGTCCGCATCAATTCCCACCGCTACACCCCCCAGGGGCGCCCGCAAAGATGAGCAAACCCGACACCATCTACGCCGACGAGCGGCGCTTCCTCGACGAGCGCGGCTCCTCGGCATCCCTCGCCCCGAACGGCGAGAACCCGGCGACCATCATGGAGAAGGCCGTCCGCGAGCGCATCATTGACTCGTACTTTTACAAGGAGCAGTGCTTCGCCGTCAACGAGGCCGACATCGTCGACCGCGTCGTCGACCACGTCTCCTTCATCGGCGGCACCCACGGCGTCACCCAGAAGCCCACGCCCTTCCTGTGCCTCGCCTTCAAGCTGCTGCAGCTCGCGCCCTCGGACGAGGTCCTCGAGACGTATCTGGGGTTCGGCGGCGAGAAGTTCAAGTACCTGCGCGCGCTGGCGTGCTTCTACATCCGCATGACGAGGAGGGCCAAGGACGTGTACCTGTTGTTGGAGCCGTTTTTGGAGGATCGGAGGAAGCTGAGGAGGAAGGGGAGGCAGGGCACGAGCTTGACGTATATGGACGAGTTTGTGGACGATCTTCTGACGAAGAGCAGAGTTTGCGCAACGAGTTTTAGAGAGTTGCCGAAGAGGGTTGATCTGGTGGATTTGGGAGAGCTGGAAGAGAGGGTCAGCCCGCTTGGAGATATCGACGAGTTGCTGGAGCAGGAGGAAGAGGAGAGGGAAGACAGCCCTAGAGAAAACGGCGCGGACGACTCTGAGGGAGAGATTGTCGAGGATAGGAGAGATGGAGAGCCCATGGACGTGGAGAGGAGATCACGGTCGAGAAGCAGAGATCGATCACCTTAGACGACGACGATGTTGATGCAAAATGATACCCAAACTGTTTCGTAGATAATTCAACGACGCAAGAGCTTCTTGAGAGCATGTGCCGCAGCAGCGCATTTTGATTTGTGTTTCATTTGATGGGTATATCGTGGCCTATTGTACAAGTTCCAGTTGATCATGTCTATGACCGCTGCTACACAACTGTCCAAAGAAGAGCTTGGAATCTATGCTGACAGCTGGCGGAGGAGGTCCTTGGCCACGCCAAGAAGACGTCTGTCATCCCAAAATTGGCCGATCAGCTGCAGACCCGCCAACTTCCGGCTTTCGTCCGCATCCGCAGCTGACGACTCGATCTTGGTTGGGATGCTGATGGCCGGCAATCCCGCCAAGCTTGCAGGCACCGTGAAAACATCATTCATGTACACCTGCACCGGCGTCTGCTGCCTAATCTCCTGAATCCTCGGCGCAAACGTCGGCGCCGTCGGACACAGCAGGAAATCTACCTGCGACGGGCCCAGCTTGTCCTGCAACTCAACCTCGTCCTTCATGTCGCTGAGGTCGAACTGCTGCGGGTCATACAACGGGTTCTCCAGCCTGAAAACTCGGTCAAAGTCGCGCTGGACGAGCTTGCGCACGCGCTGCGCCTGGATGAAGTAGTTGTCCATCGCCTCCGAGCTGAGACTGTAGGAGCCGAGGAGAATGCGGCGCTTCACCTCGTCGCCGAAACCGAGACCTCGCGTCTTGGAGTAGAGGACTTCGCCCGCACCGTCGCTCTCGTCGCCGCGGGTGCCGTAGCGGACGCCGTCGTATTTGGCGAGATTTGATGATGCTTCAGCAGGTGCGATGACGTAGTATGCCGAGAGAGCATGTTTGGTCGAGGGAAGAGAGACCGGCACGATCTCGATGCCGGATGCCTCGAGGAGGCCTGCAGCGTTCGACCAAGCAGTTCGAATCTCGGGATCTAGTTCTTCGATGTTGTACTCAAGCGGAATTCCGACTCTCAGGCGTGTGCCTGAGTCTGACCTTTGGTCTTGCTGGGTCTTTCTGAAGGTTTTTGAGAGAGACGTCGGGTCTTGCGGATCGTGTTCTCCGTCCAGACCAGTGCCGAAAACCAGGTCCTCCATGATCCCTACCTCCCGCGCGAGCAGTCCGACAGTATCCAGCGAGTTCGCATATGGAACTACGCCCCATCTCGAGAGCATGCCGTATGATGGCTTATACCCCACGACACCGCAGTATGCTGCGGGTAGACGAATCGAGCCGCCTGTATCGGTACCCAGCGCAACATCCGCCTCACCCGTCTGAACCGCGACCGCGCTACCGCCCGAGCTTCCGCCAGCGGATGTTGGCGTGGGGGACAGTGGGTTCAGTACCGGTCCATGCACCGAGTTCAAGGAATGCGATCCCATTCCGAATTCATCCATGTTCGTCTTTCCGACAACTCGGGCGCCTCTTTCGCGAAGCTGGCGCACAATAGTGGCCTCGAAGGGGCTTTTGTGGGAGGAGAGGATCGCGGAGGAGCATGTTGTCGGTAGACCATGGGTGGCGATGTTGTCTTTGACCGCAAGAGTAAACGTTTTGTTCGAGTTCGAGGCGGCTGGAGGAGCGATTGGGACTCCTTCTGCGGGCTCTAAGGGTAGCTGTTAGCTCTGGCGGAAGCGAACTGCAGTCAGTCCACTGTACCTGTCTTTACGAAGTGATTGAAGTCATGGCGCAGTCGCCTTTGAGGGCCGACTAGCTGCCCAATTCTTCTCGACCCCAGCGCCCGAGGGCGTAGGCGCAAGAGTTTGGCATGGGAGGACATGAGGCCGCCAATGCCAGCCTGTGATGGTTGTGCTGGGGGCTAGTGAACTTTCTGGGGAGCTGCCGTCACGGAAGTTTGCCCGCCAAGTTGAGCGGGTGACTAAGCGATGCGGCCCCACACCGTGTCTGTGCTCTCGTCCGGCCCGCGCCCGGTCAATGTCCCGCCAAAACCCCACCGTACTTCCCCAGCTGGGTCACCGAAGCTTGCACCGTGGGCGACAGGTCTCACTCTCCGGTGATATCCTGCATATAAATCGGGGCCATGTTTGTGATGTGTCGGATCCCCAACCGACGCTAGAAAGATGGCCGTCACTGGTGCCTCTGGCGCAGACCCCTACCTACATACCTGTGGTCTGCATCGATGTGTTTGGATGGCCAGGCTACTCTACTCATACATTCACTCTCACACCTGAGTTCTTATTTCATATTATACTTTCCCGTACAAAACTACTGAGTCAAGTAGAAGAATTCGTGACTTCCTTTGACAAGATCCTGTTCCTTGGCCTCACTATCAGTCCTCACTTCAAAGTTATTCGTCTTCAATTGAACTCGAATAATACGCCAAGACTTGGAGAGTTCCTGCGGATTTCTAAGGTTTCACATCACCTGATAAGTCCCGGAGTTCTTCGAATGTAATCTAGGATGTGCAAAGGCACCCGTATCTCAATAAGTTGTCTATAACACGATCTAACGCCACGGCCATGTGCACCTCTCTTTACAAATTACCGCCCGTCATTACCGGAGTTGTAGTTTGATGCATCCGAAGGCTGATATTGTGTCCCTTGGCTCCTGTCCGCGGCGTCCTTGTGAGATTCCCCCATAGGAACACCCTCGTAGTGAGTAACCTTGGAACCACTCTTTCTGTGGTCAAACACCAGTCCTGGGTGTCCCACATTCAGACAGAAGACAGCAATGGTCATAACCCTGAAGAACCATCAGTGAGTGCGAACTGGGAACTGCAGACAGATCACTTACGCCGACTCCATGGCAATGAACGGAGCCTCGTCTCGGAACCAGTGGCTGAAGTAGCCCTCATGCAACTCTACAATACGGTAGACGCATCGAAGGAGGATGAAAAGCGTGCTGAGCCCTAGGAACAGCAAGAAAATCTTGAGCCTCCCGTTCATCTTCGACCGACCGATTGAGCGGTTGTATCTGATGATGTAGTCCGCGAACAAGATAGAGAACACAAGGAGTGAAAAGACCTGGAAAACCAATCCAGCCAAGGAAATGTTGACTCCTCGATCGACGGCCTCTTTTGTGGTGCTAACAGAAGACGAACCGCCGCCGACGGCCTGCAGAATGAGGGAGACGATATCGGCAGGAATGAAGATCCAGTAAAACAGCTTCGGCCTGACGCGGGATAGCGAAGGGTCCAGATGGTTGATTCTACACCACGAACTGGTGAGTAAACTGCTCCATCGCTCGGTAAAATACGGGCTGCTTACGTTTGGGAAAGAAGAACGTAAACAGCAGCGGAGAAGAAGACCGGGGCGACCGTAATACAAACTTTACGCATGCAAGATTAGCGTCAGGTTGTCGTTGATTTTCTGGTGTTAGTGAAGACGAACCGATTTGCATCAAGAACCCCTCGAAGTTGAACGGGTTATCGTAGATAAACAACCGTCCCACGTAGCCAACTATCTCCAGAATGCACCCAGCGATCATGCTCCCCATGAAACCCCATGTTCGTGATCGAATGCCCTGTACGGCATGAGCAAGCAGGGCGATCGAGAAAAGCGCAATGAATGTGGCGCTAGCTGGCACGGAAGGCCGGTACTGTAGAACGCTCCATTCGATCGGGCAGAGCTCGAGAGTGCAGTTGGCGTTTGGCCCGAAGGCAATCAGGCCGTCCGGTAGCCTCGACATGTTGGGAATATCGGATCTCGTCAGATCGGTTGGACGGTCATCATTGTAAGCGCAATGGGATGGAGGACATGTCTTCTTATAAATCCCGAAGCAGGCTCCAGAAGGCTTGGTGGGGGAAAAAAGAAGCGTTGGCAACCGAAGGGCCGTTAGTCCGCAGGATTCGGTGAGAATGGGCGTCCGACATCTGCAAGTATTAGCTCCGTAGCGTCAGACGGTGGCTTAGACATGCTCCGACGTGGTCCACTATCTAGCCGCTCCCTTACCAAACGTTGACGTGGTTGATCTAACCGCCAATCTAGCTAGATTTCATTGGGCGGACGTCAGGAATATTTTCATGGAAGTAGATTTCGGGAGGCGTAGCCGCAGTACCGATGAGATAACAAAAGATCCTTCCTTGGGAACTCAAGTACACGATGAAGCCATGTACTCCCCGTTTGCGAGCGGAGATCGAGAACTTACCATCCAATTTCAGCCATATCGATGATGTATTTTCAGATACTGGTTAAGATTGAAACCGGTTGACAATTTCTGCAAGGCAAACAGAACAATACCCCTGGCATTGAATGTCAACGGGAACTCGTGGCCGCCCTGGATTAAGGCAAGCTGACGTTTAATCGTGTGAGTGATCTTACCCGAAAGGGAAATAATGTCGCGACGCTAGCGCCGCGTGGGTCTCCCGCCTGGGTGGAGCTCCCGAATCCCGTTATCCAACGGGCACCTTTGATTTAGGCAGACTCAAACGCACAACATGGTGAGGGATGAGCTTAGTAGTTGATTCCCTTGTTTGATCTCAGCCCCGTGTTCAACAGAATTAGATACCGCCATTGGTAGCGATGAGGCTGAGCAGCGTGTTCGCGCGCGAGAATCATACCATATGCGGTTAAAACATCGCGATGGAATGCGGCCCCGCCATCCCTCGGACTCTGAGCGATGACAAGGGAAGGCGCGTGGGAAGAAACTTACCCCACGAAGGGAAAAATGTCGCGATGCAATCACCTGTGGCTTTCAACGTTTTAATAGTTGTATATGTTGTGAAACTTCTGGATCTGATGTGGCTTGACCCAGCCACTTTAGTGAAACTCACATGAGATTTCATGTCGTGATGGGTTGCAGATTCACTCAGTCTTTAACTCAAAATTCAACACAAGAAAGAGCTGAATCTGTTAATCGCAATGTAATCAGACTCAATAAACCGGATTTGGCCCTGTCCGCAGCTTTAGATTAGTGAGAATCGTTCGCGATTTCCCTCTCTGCTCAATGTATCTATCTGTGACGTTCCACCCTCAAATACAACTGAAAGCCAGAACAAGCTAACAACATATGATATCAATGAAGGCTTCCCGTGTCAAAAAGCCTCTACTACTGTCTCTTCATAACGTAGCTCTGTTGCAAATGTGTATTTCTTGAGGATCCCACTTCCCGAGGAGATGAGTTCTGTACTCGTCCACCACATCAAACCCTCTGCTCTTGATAATGTCCAGAAACTTCAACATGCGCTGTTGCTCCGCAGGCGTCTCCATCTCCTGACCGACAAAGTCAGCAAACGGCAAGTAAAGTGCGAGGTCGAGGCCGAGCTGGCCTATCAGTGTTTCGACGTGCCCGAGGGCGGCCAAGGCCTGCTGGTGAAGCACTTCGGCGGGCATGATAGGCAAGTCGCACATAAGAAACCTCCACGCATCATGTTGGAGCATGTGAGACAAGCCAGTGAGAGCCCAGTGGTAGTAAGGGCTGATGCTGGCGGAAGCATGGTCGTGCGGGTCTGTAGACAGTTGCATGAGGTTCCCAATCATTCGGGACTGCAATGCTGACACCTCGCAGATGATATCCAGTCCCTGGACCTTGAGGTCGATCGATTCTTTGAACGATTCAGACCCGTCTGAGAAGAGTCGCTGTTCTTGTGTTTTGGTGACCCATGTCATAGCCCTAAACTCGTCAGCTTGCCTGTGTGTTTGAGTGCTCGAAGATGAGATTTGGCAGTTTACCTTGGCTGCAAGCTTGCCCACTGCCACATCGCAGAAAGCATGGCGTCTACCTTTCTGGAGTCTGGTGATGGCACCGTCCCACCTGATGCTTCAACGGTGAGAGGCCGCGCCGGCCAAGGTTCAGGAGCGACCTGAGGTTCGACTGGGGGTCCCCTTTCTGCAATACTAGAAAGAATGTCTAGGAACTTGAAAAAGCGAACCAAGTCTTTCTCAAATGGCGTCCAAGATGAGATTGGATACTTCTGGCTGCATGCTTTCAGAAAGTTGGAGATTCTCGTGAGCCACGACTTGAAAGTCCCGTCTTTCTGAGCTAACATGAGCTAGAACCGATAAGTACTAGGCTCAAGAGTTTAAGGATGTGCTCTCACCTCAACCGCCGCCAACAGGAGAGCACTCATCAAGACCGGAGTGAAGTTTGTCGTCTCGGGCTTCTTGAGCTCTAGTTCAATGACAGACTTCTGTCTCACCCAAGTTTCCATCACGTTGCGCTTCTCTTTGGCGTTGATCCTCAAGATCTGAGGATTTCGAGAAGCATACAAGGCCCCTACAATGGACAAAGTACGGCTGACATTCTCATCCTCGTGCGACATGGCCGTCACGGTAGCACTCCTTAAGACCGAAGCTTGGGTGAGAGAGCCCATGGCTTGGAAGTAGGTGCTGATGTAGCGCCATGAGTCCTGCACCAAGACTCTGGGAATCCGCGAGGGCTCGCGCTGCTGCACGAAGTGGAAGGCTGGTGAAGTTCTCGAAGCTGCGCACTCCATGCCGCGGGTGACGCAGCTCGAACACGGACGACCGCCATCACACTATTCACGTCAGGAAATCCGAACCTTCTGGCCCTCAGAGTGAGTCAACTGACTTTGATATGCGACTTCTTGCAAGGAGCACAACGATGCCCGACGCGTCGCCGGTCAAGCTGCCCACATGGCATTTGTACGTTCTGGCTGCCCAGCAAGCCGCTGGGTGGTCTCAGTGAAAGTCAGATATGGCATGACCACCGGACACGGAGGCCGATCTCCGGATACGCAATGTGCCGGATGTGACCGAAAGCTACGGTCGGCGACGGGAGGTTTGGTTAGGGATGAAGGGTCGTCAGCGGCTGCTCAGTTATCCGCGGAGGCCGGAAACCCGTACGGGCACTCTTTGTGGCGCAGACGTTGATTACCTACTGATTGAACGAGACCTTAGCGCGCTGAAGTGAAAAGGGGGCTTGGCAGCGAACAGCTGGCGTTACGCTCGAGGTCGTGAACAACTTTCACTTGGAGCAAAACGCAGCCGAAGTCACCACGGAAACCTTCGACCACATTGTTCTTTCTGTTAGGAAAGATGACTATGTTGATGATTCTTCCCGACTATGCTTGTAAATCCGAGCATTAACGGATGCGCTGAGCCTGGCCTTCCCTCTCAGCTGGCACCAGCTGTTCATGATCTCTCTCATTCTATGATACGCTCTCACACTCATCATACCGAGCTTCACGACGATCATGAAGAGACAGCAAACGAACAAGCTTTTTCAAAGCAACGCAATGTCTCTTCACCACAAGATAACCGATTCTTAGCAGTCTCACTTATTACTCATGCTACGTTATACTGGAACCAAGTCGGCCCGGTATCGCTCTTCCTCTGCTATCCAATCTCACTACGACCAACGTAGTGGGTTGGCAGCCTGCGGTAGCCTAAAGACATTCCACAAATGGTGCGTAATCCCCTGCTGTTTGGCCTTACGCGAAAGTGATAGAAAATCTTGCTCTGCATCATCCACTGTACGGTACTTTCTGGTTCTGTTGGATTGGTCGCCTCGAACGGTCTAATTTAGGCTCCTGCCGGTAAGATTGGATGTTCAGCCTCTTCTGACGACCAAAAGATGATGGCTGTCTCGAGCAGCATGATGAACAATGACTTTCGAGGGCTCACTCAGCGCGGTCGTCCGTCCGATGAAAGTCTCAACTTCTTCAATTGACCGTTTCGTTTTCGTTCCATTCTTTAGTCAATTTATGAGAGACAGACTGTTGCTTCCCGTGCAGTGAGGAGAGATCTCGCTTCGCTGAAGGATTCGTCCCTCGAGGGTGAGTTCACGCGCCGACCTGTTGCCCCAACTTGGTGCACTGATCAGGCTGCGCTGTGTTTGCTCAGGTAGACCCCACCTGCTCATGGCGTGAGCTCCTATGCGCCAAGATGGACAGACAGATGCATCAAGACGCTAGCCAGGAGAGCAGCGCAAGGAGCATAAAGGGGCGAATCGGGAGAGGCTCGGATAGGTGTTGCTTCCAGCGGATGCGAGACGTCAGCTCTGTCATTACCTGTCAGATTTATCGTGAGGCATTTCGAACAGCGAGACACAGCTTCCTTTTGAATGTCTGAGACAGACGCCCGCTGAAGGGGTTCAGCCTGGCCAGCGCAACGGCGTCAGACTTCACAGCAATTCGACGACCAACCTCGTATGAGGCCAGCCGCTGACATAAACCGGGACTCCATGTCTTTGGGATTCTGGACCTCCGTGATCGAACGCCTGTGCTGGCGGAGCTGGGTGTCCAGAACCACAGAACCCTGTGAATCGACATGTCTGCTCCAACAAACAAGCCGCCAACCCCTGTCCAAAGCCCCTGATGGCTTGCACCTGCGTCCAGCCCAGTGACCCATGCCGACGAACCATCGACGATGTCCGCTCCCCTGATGGGCGCCGCAACTGTGCCTTTGGCGGGCGCGCGGGTCTTATCCCCGTGAAATGAACTTTGACATTCTCGTTGGAAAAATTCTGACGGAAATCCCAGCTAGCTAATAGAAATCTGTGGAGAGAAACAAAGAACAATGAGAACGTCCAAATTGCGTCCCAACATGAGATGATCTGGACATAAACTCACTCGCTACACATGAGGCAAAGATCGCCACAGTTGATATTGTCGATATTGACTCCAACTTCCAAGAGTCTCCAGCCCCAAAGAGGCGCGCCATCAGCCCCGTTCTTTAAACCTTTGGAGAACGAACGAGGCCATGGCTTTCATGATTCATCTCTGATAGATGGCGCGTGGAGGGACTCCGCGCGCGGTGTCGCAGGGGTGAGCCAGCCCGACTCGCTTCAGCTTCGGGTTTTTTGTCCTGTCCGTCGGGGGACGAAGGGGGCCTTTTGGGGGAAGGAGACGGCGAAGTGCCGGAGGGTTCGGGGCGATGTGAGCGTCGCATTAAGCTAGTTAATAAGGACTCAGAAGTGGGCGATTTCCGAGTCATGCTGAACTCGATTGGCTGGTTTGCGGCTCTCCAAATTGACCAAGAACAACTTGAAAAGTCTAACCGGCGGAGACCATCAAACACAGCACAACGACATGCCATTACTTAGGTTTCTTTTAAAAGAGAGACCCGCCATCATCTGGCATTGATGGTCTTGGCAAACATCGTGATGGGAAAAGTCCGCCCGCCTCGGGTTATGGAGTCTCGTCACTCGGGTTCTCACACGCCATCGTCACAAACTGTTGGCGAAAGGTGAGAGAAATTTACAGGGCTCGACATGCATCGGCTAGCCCATCTTATCTCCTGCCCTTGCAACAACACATGCAGGTACCGCAAAATATGGGACTTTTGACCTCTCCATTTCCCAGCCCGCTGGGCGACTCTGCAGATGCCAAGTCGCAGCTAGCCCGGTTTCTTTGCTTTTCCACCGCTTGAATGTTCGCCTGGCGAGGGTCCCCAGGCATGACTCGGCCTTGTTTTGGCAGTTGGGACTGGAATCCTTGGCCGTGAATCTTGGCAATTAAAACGGGATGAACGAGATGGGGACGTTGGCGCTCACATCACACGCAGAAGGGGGCCATGCAGACTTGGCGTGGTGATGGGATATATCATGTGGGAGCCCGCTTGCTGACGTTCGGTTCGAGATCTCTACTCTCTTCACTAGTCAACTGTCAGTCGCGTTGTTGTTTGGCAGAGTCACTCGTTTCCTCAACCAAGTCATTCTTTACATAATATACAAATAACTAGTCATTCTTTTTACTCGCCATGCATCTTCAGACTGTTGCTGCCACGCTCCTCGTGGCCGGAGCTGCTGCTTCTCCCTACCGCCGCCAGACCTCCAACGAGACCTACTGCGATGAAGACCTCCCCGAGACGACGAAGCCTACCTCCACCAAGGCTCACTTCCCTCCGTACCCCGTGAACACCACCATCCCCGGTGTTCCCTCCAACCCGGGCGCCGGCGGTAACAGCCCTTCTTACCCGGGCAAGCCTTCCAACCCCGGTGCCGGCGGTAACAACCCTTCTTACCCCGGAAAGCCCTCCAACCCTGGTAACGGCGGTTCTCCCTCCAACCCGAGCAAGCCCACGACCGGTGGCAACTCGCCTTCCACCCCCAGCCAGGCTTCTACCGGTGGTGACTCTTCCAACTCCGGAAACACTGGCAACGGCGGTTCTCCCTCCAAGGGCGGCGACTCCGGCTCCCCGTCTTACCCCGGCAAGCCCTCCGCCCCGGGTGCTTCTACCCCGTCCACCCCCGGCGGCAGCGGCAGCGGCAACTCTCCCTCTTACCCCGGAAAGCCTTCCACTCCCAGCGAGGCTGCCACCAACCCCGGCGGCGAGTCTCCTGCCAACCCCGGTGCCGGTGGTAGCACCCCTTCGTACCCGGGCAAGCCCATTACTCCCGGCTCTTCCTCTCGCCCCTGGGTCCCGTACCCCCAGAACACCTCCGTCGCCTCGGTCACTCCCTCATTCACTACCATCCCCGGCGTCGCTCTTCCCACCGTCCCCGTTCCCAGCACCACCGTTCCCGTCGGCAGCAACGACACCGCCACTGTCCCCGTTCCCAGCTCTACTGCCCCGGCTACCACCATCCCCTACGGTGTTGCCATCACCAAGTGCACTGTCGAGGGTGACTTTGCTCTCACCTTCGACGACGGCCCGTTCACTTACACCAACCACGTCCTCGACCTCCTTGCTGAGGCTGGTGCCAAGGCCACTTTCTTCGTCAACGGCAAGAACTTCGGCGACATCACCCAGGAGACGGATGTCGTCAAGCGCATGATCGCCGACGGTCACCAGATCGGCTCTCACACCTTCAGCCACCCCGACCTCGCCACATTGGGCGATGCCGACATCATCCCTGAGATGACCACTCTCGAGGATGCTCTGATCAACATCATCGGCAAATACCCCACTTACATGCGCCCTCCTTACTTCAGCTGGAACGACAACACTCTCTCCATCCTCAAGGCTCTTGAGTACCACGTCATCCACGCTGATGTCGACTCCCTCGACTACGCCAACAACGCGCCCCTCGGCAACTTGACCAGTGTCGGTATCTTCGAGGAGGGTGTCAACAAGGGTGGTTCTATCGCCCTTGCCCACGAGGTAAGCTGACTTGGACAACCTGGAATAATTCCGCTGCTAACATCAAAAACAGGTTCACCAGAACACCGCTGAGTACCTCGTCCCCGAGTTCCTCCGCATCATCAAGGAGAAGGGTCTCAACGCCGTCACCGTCGGTGAGTGCCTCGGCGACCCGGAGGCCAACTGGTACAAGACCAAGCGCACTTCCACCCCCACCGCCACCGCCTCCAAGATCGTCGTCTCCATCACCAGCACTGCTACCCCCACCGGCGTCATCGGCCCCGACGGTGCCTGCGGTGGCTCTGAGGGCTACGTCTGCGCGGCCGGCTTCTGCTGCTCCGAGTACGGCTTCTGCGGTTCTTCCACCGGCTACTGCGGTACCGGCTGCCAGCCTCTCTTCGGTGTCTGCGGTGCCGCTGGTGCTGCCCCTGCTCCCTCCGGCGGCGATGCCACCGGCACTGCCAGCGCTCCTGCTGCCACTCAGACCTCCGGTGGCGTCAGCCCCGACAGCTCTTGCGGTGGCGCCAACGCCTACACCTGCCCTGACAGCACTTGCTGCTCCGAGTACGGCTTCTGCGGCACCACCACCGCTCACTGCGGTACTGGCTGCCAGCCCCTGTTCGGCACTTGCTCTTAAGCTGTCGTGGTCGGAGAGTTTGCGTTTGTAATGTTCGTCACATCAGGGTGATGTGGTTTGGGTCAATATTTCCTATATATATCCTGTAGAGTGTGTATAGAGTCAATAAAGTGTACTTACTTCACTGGTGTTATATAGCCTCCAAGCCAATGCAAACTCGTATATCCCAGCTTCCAACTGTCCCTCAACAATCGGTGACGATATACTGCAAGTAGAACTCGTAATATCAATGAGATCACGATGTTGCAAGTCATCATCGAATGGTCAGTTCAACGGTTGTGAAGGGCTTGAAGTCAAACTCCTGAGTCAGTTGTTGTCAGCAACTTCATACTTGAGACATCTCCAACTGCTGGTATCCAATGAGAGAGAGCTTTACATATTGCGGTTGCAGCCAAGCCTGCCGATGGACACCCAAGAACGTGATGTGCATTTGGTGCGACAACGTTGACGGTGGCCCGAGATCCGTTCCCGGGCCGCTGGACGGGTAAAGGGGGAACGCCAAGTACCATGTCACATACGCGGAGCTTAGTACTTGTTTTATTTTATTAGATATTATTGAGAAAACATACGCGGAGCTGTCCAGTGGCATTACACCGACAAACCATTTCCGTCAGAACTTCTGCACATCTAGGCCGAGAAGATTTAAACAAGAACTAAAATTGCAGCAAAAACAACATCAAAAAAAGGCAATATGAATAATAGCAAAAGCAATATTGGCAATGATAGCAGCGACAGACACCCACCCTAGACCACGATCTTCTCCTTCGGAAGCGGCGAAATCTTCTTGCCACATGTCCAGAACTCATAGTTCGCGTCCTTTGCATGCTGCTCAAGCACCGGGTTGGATACGCTGATGGCTTTAGCCCCTCTCGCAAGCATGTCATCGCGATACTCCGTGATGTACTTGATCACATCCGCATCTGCTCCTCCGGCATCGCGAATGCTTGCAATGGCTCGTCCCAGCCTTAGACCGTCCGTCAAGGCGCACACACCGGCTTCGCCTCGGACTTTTGGTAAAAACTGTTGTTAGCTTCGGATCCATACTCGAGAGAAGTTTTGAACTTACAAGGCGTCATTGAATGCGCCGAGTCTCCAGCGAGAGTAATTCTGCCTGCGGGCAGCTGATCAGCTGCCAGTTCCACGCTCTGCAGCACGATGCCCGGCTGCCTGTAACTCTCAACCGGAACTTTGTCGACGAGCACACGCAAATAGTCTGGGTAGATCTTGGTCTTCTCCTTTGCGAACGCCATCAACTCCTCTCGTGACGCCGTGACAGTCCAGAACGGCCTCTCCTCCGTACTCTCGGCCGCCGCCCGATCGATCCAGTGGAGGATGAAGTAAAAGTACCCTGTCTTCTTGTCGGGGCTGATCTTGTTGAGAGCAGCGAACAAGCTGGCCTGGCTACCTCTCTGGTTCTCGGGCGATGAGTCCAAGACGATGTAGGCAGAGTGCCCCAGCTCGAGCTGGTGCACGAGGTCCTCGCCGCTCAGCTGGATCTCTCCGACCAGCGAGCCGACAGGCAGCGGCTTAATCACGTCCTGCCCCTGCAAGATATGTTTGCGCACGAGACTGCGGCTGCCCTCAGCTCCGACCAAGATGTCACCTGTCTCTGAGCTACCGTCCTCGAAGTACGCCGTAACCTTGGCGTCTCGCTCTTCGATCCGCGTCACTCGCTTGTTGAACTGCACCGGCAGGAACTGCAGCAGCCAGTCGCGAAGCCGCTGGCGATTGGCACGTACGATTTTGCCGGTATCGTCGTCCGTGACGCCAGCACGCCAGTCCGGCTTGCTGGCGTCATAGAAGACGAACTGAGCTGGGATGTGGTCCAGGGGGCTCAGGTGGTTGGTCTGCTCGATGGGACCCAGGTCCGCGGGCATCGATGCTGAGAGTTCTGCGAGTACGGGTCCGTGAAGAGCTATGGCCCAGCCTTGAGCTCTGGCATCGGCTCTGGTGTCGCGTTCGAAGATGGAGAATGATATGTTGTTCTTGCGGAGTATCTGGCCAAGCGTGAGGCCGCTGAGACCGGCGCCGACGATCAGAACATGAGGACTTTGCTTGGAGGCCATGGTTGCCGTTGAGTAGAACTGATTAGAGAAGGTGATGTGTGTCCGAGAGATCTCTGAGAATTCGGAACACATCAAAGATTTTGATGCCATATATATACGTGCTCTCCCAACACGTACCCCATCGCTTCTCGGACTTTTGACCTCGGCTTTCTCATCCACCCCATAACCCCATAATGGAAATGAATACGCAGTTGAATGCCTGCTTGCCAGTTTCACCTCAGGCTTCAATTGGTCTTATTGCTGTGTGATATGGAGTTTCACTGGCGCTTGCAAGATTCCGATCCACACGGATGAGGCAGCGACAGAGCACTTGAAATGTCCGGGCTGCATCCCGGGTGTTGGAGACCCACCTCCGGGCCGTCTTAGTGGACCCGGCCCCACATGCAGATCTATGCGGTTGAAATCATTATGGTCTCTGGCTGCCCCCGACTTTTTTTTCCCCAGAATCTCTGCTGTTTTCACTTCTCTGCCCACTCCAGACTCCTCCCCACTCACAATGCCGCCTTACGGTCATGCAGGTCGAAATGACTGGAATTATTTACGCTCCCACTGAGGAGTTATTAAGAGGGCTGCGGTTTATCGACGTTTCCACCTGTCTATCAGCTGCGCCGCACACAGTCAAACTCATCATATTTTAGAAAGATGCCAAATAGGGTCATATTGCGCCGTGCAAACATCAACAACAAGTCTTGGGGTAGAACTTGAGAAATCCATTAGCCTGGAAGCTCGGTGTTCTGTTACTCGACAACAACGATTTCCTTGTAATCGCTGTCCTTGTTCTCTCCCATACTCAGCATACGAGAGGGAACCTAGTCCACAGACGTAAATACTCCGTCTCTCCAAATGATCTCGATAGGTAGACACCGCCCCTCTGTATTCGCCAACTCCTCCAACACGTCGCCTTTTATTAAGACCAAGTCCGCATTCTTGCCTTGTTCAATTCTCCCGCGATCATGAAACTTGAACCGGTCTGCTGTGATCGAAGTTGCTGATTTGAGCACATCCATCGGAGACATGCCGACCTCTTTCACGAGAGCACGCATCTCCATGTGCATACCGAGCCCGTACGGCAGTCCAAACCCCTTGCCCGCGGCGTCCGTCCCTACAATCAGAGGCACTCCGGCTTTATATAAAGCCTTTGTGTTGGCATACGCGTTTGCAATGCTCGCCCTCGGCTTTTGTCCAGCCGCCAGGCCTAGAGGTTTTGTCGGCGCTTTCTGAATAAGCATCTTTTGTGCGAACGGGTCTTGTAGGAATGACTGTTGTACTTCCTGGCCCTCATCGGTTTGAGAGGCACATAGGCCCAATGTCGGATTGCAGTGAGCACCATTATCCAGCAAGAGTTGGATGTAGTCGTCGCTCGGAGGCTCGTCGAGAAACATGTGGCTTAGCCCGTCCGCTCCAGCGCGCAGAAGGTCCATTGCGCCGGCATAGCTGAAGGCGTGACCTGTCGTGATGACTCCGTGCTTGTGAGCAGCGGCGACGACTGCTTTCTGAATATCCATAGGTGGTCTGGGCAGGTCCATGCCGAGCGTGTCGCCGAGCTCGTGGAACATCTTGATGTACGCTGCTCCGTTTTCTTTGATTTGCTGCTTCACAAAAGGCTCTGCATCTTCCGGCTTCCGTAGCATTGGCCAGGTGGAAACGATCTTGTCAACAAGGTGATCACCGCATGGTTGATCCGCGAATTCCTTCTTCATGACTGGTATGGGCCAGCCGCCTTCGATGACCGCACCGAGACCCGCGCATTTGAAGTCGGCGTATTTTGACTTATTGGCAGGTGCGCTTGCCAGCTGCATTTGTGTCAGTTTACTCGAGTCCCATGCGATTCGTGGTGTTGACTTACCTTTTTCAACTCGGCATTATCTCTAGGATCATTGTGCATGTCGCAGACAGTGGTGACGCCGAAGCGCAGGGATTGTTCGATGCTGTTGACATTGCCAGACAATGCGTGAACGTGGGCATCGATTAAGCCGGGTATGAGTGAGTCTCCGGGTCTTGAAATGACTGTGATGCCGGTTGAGAGGTCGCCGTTAAATTTGCCCTTGCCCACCTCTGCGATTTTACCATCCAGGACGAAGACATATCCCTCATCGACGATCTCGGTGCCTGTGAATATCTTGACATCCTTGATTAGCACAGAATTTGGTACACCCATGGTTGTGTACCTGATGTTTGTGTGTTGTTTTTGGTGTTGTGGTTTGTAAGCGTCATTAAGAATCAGAGAAACATCGCGAGCGGCATTCCCCTGGGGATGCTTTAGAGATTGCCAACCAGCTCCTTTTCTCTTGTCCTAAACAAGTACGTCACAGCTGGAATTGACCTTCGCGCGCTACCTGAGGAGCACAAACGGAAGCTAACATCGAAAAAGCACTAACAAGCACCGCCGGCAGACGAGTTAGGCGAAAAGGTCGAGGTTTCGGAGCGTCTTTGTTAGCTCGTCTGAAACTTTGGCTCGATAGCTGCTGCTCGCCACTGCCGTGATGACGTCCTAGTCAGAGCGAAACGGGAATGAGATGACAAGCGGCGCGTTGCGTCGGTCCAAGCGAACATCGTAGGCGCCGACGCCAATCTCAACCGGGGCACCCAGCATCGACGTCAGGAACTTCAATAAGAAAGACGAAAAGGGGGCTTTGCAGGGTCGGAGGTGTTCTAGAACGCGAGGGCCATGTGGTGTGGCATGCATTGCCGGCGATCCAGGACCCATGGGAATCTGGTGTTGCGATCGTGGGGTTTGTTAAGCGCTGAGAATCCCATGCGACCCGGGGAATCAAGTCCGGCGAGTTGCGCTGCGGTCTCACCGGCTTGTGGGCTCCACAGCCGTTGGCCCTCCTGGCAATCATTCTTTTCACTTCATCATCAGCTATTCGATTATTTTCAATAAAACAAATGGATAAACATTTATAAGATTGCTAGCTTGCTCGTTCTAAGGGATGTGTGACTGGGTCTCGCCCTCTTGGACCACCAGTCTCCAGAACTGAGGAATAGTATCATGGGCAGCCATATAGACCATCGGAGGCAGCATTCTGACATTTTGAGCTTATTCATACCATCTCTGAAAGACTGTACTCGAACTAAGCAAGCTGAATACCATGAGGAGAATGAGCTGGCAGGGTCGTTATCGTCAACTCACTAACAGTGACCCCTCATCAGTGGGGGCCTTCTCACTCTCCTCAGTGGGTCGCAACTCACGATGAGATTCGCAGGAAATGGTATCATCGGCCATTTTTCTAATCTCACAACAAAGGCCGCATCCTGATTGTCTTCCCAATTGTCGCTCTAGATCTTCAAGGCATGCCCCATACAACGGTGAAAATGGCAACTCAATCTAACCGTCTCACAAACTACGCAGCTTTCCACCGTCAAGATGGCTCTTCTCCGCAGATCGGACACCTCGACCCAGCACAGCAGACCATCCAACCGTTGACCTTTCTCTCCGGCACACCAGTGGAAAATCTTTACCAAGTGATCGAGGCAGGGTCCGAAAACATAATCGCTGCCGCGATTCCTGCGATTCCTCTGAAGGATGTGAAACTGCTCCCTCCCATCTCAGGACGGGACGTTCTGGCCGTCGGCAAGAACTACATGGAGCACGCCAAGGAGTTTAACAGTTCAGGCTACGACAGCTCCGATAAGGTCGACAAGCCCAGCCACCCAGTCATTTTCACCAAACGTGCGACTTCCATCATGGCCGATGGAGAGAACATCCTTCTTCACAAGGGCTTCACGGAGAGTGCTGATTATGAAGGCGAGATCGGTGTGATCGTTGGGAAGGCCGGTTTCCGGGTCAGGGAGGAGGATGCCTGGGATTATGTCTGGGGATACACCATCATCAACGACCTGACAGCGAGAGAAAGGCAGCGAGACCACAAGCAGTTTTACATCGGCAAGTCTCCCGACACCTTCTGCCCAATGGTAAAATCTCACTTCAATGAATTGCCTTTCACCCTTGCTAACATCAATACAGGGACCGGTTGCCGTGCCCAAAGAAAACCTGCCGAAGACCCTCCGCATCCAGACCCACGTCAACGGAGAGCTGCGCCAAGATGCAACAACAGAGGATCTCATTTTCTCGATTCCTCATCTCATCAGCACGCTCTCGGCCGGCACGACCTTGCAGCCTGGTGATGTGCTCGCGACCGGAACGGCAAGTTCGACTGTCAACTTTGGACTCCGGTACCGCTTTACTGACATGACGTACAGCCCGCTGGAGTCGGCATCGGACGCAACCCTCCCGTCTTCCTGAAGATGGGCGACGAGATTGCCATTTCTATCGACGGAATCGGGACTTTGACAAACAAAGTCGCCGAAGACTCAGCCGCCAACACGACCATCGAACGAGTCACGTCCCAGTCCGCTTTCCAACTAACAAACGCGACAAGGACCATCCATGGTACAGCTGGCTTGACTAAAGTCAACTCCAAACTGCTCAACTACCGGCGCATCGGCACTGGTAAAGAGAACATCATCTTCGTCCACGGACTCGGCGCAACGAAGGAGTTCTGGACTCCCTTGGTCACCGAACTTGGTCTCGAAGACTCTGCCACTTTCCATCTCTTCGATTTTGAGGGCCACGGGCTCAGTCCGACACACCCTCTGAGCAAGATCTCCATCGAGTCTCTCGCCGAAGATTTGATTGGAATCTTCACAGGCGCTGGCGTTTCTGCTCAGAATCCCGCCATACTCATCAGCCACTCGATGGGGTCTATCATCTCCACCAAGTTTGCTCTCGATCATCCTTCCCTGATCAAGAAGTTGGTCCTTATCGGCCCGCCGCCCTCTCCGCTCCCGAGCACGGCTGCCGCCCACCTTCTCGACACTGCGGGTTTAGCGAGAAGTCAGGGCATGACCTCCGTCGTTGAGCAGAACGTTGCACTCATCTCACAATCCTCGAAGGCGAAAACTCCTCTTGCCGCAACTGCCGTCAGAATGAGTCTCTTGAGCCAGGATCCTGAGGGCTATGCGAAGGCGGCCTCGGCCCTCGCTCAATTCACGGAGCCTTTGCCTCTGGAGAAGCTGGGCGTTGAGACGCACATCATTTCCGGACAAGCTCCCTCTTCTGGCGACGAGTATGTCAGAAGGATCAGAAACTCGACGCAAACTGTACTCTCTCATGTTGGACATTGGCACTTGTTCGAAGATCCAGTCGAAGTTGCAGCTAGCATCAAAAGTTTCTTGTAGATGAAGCTCATCGGAACCAAGTATCCCGTGGTGTTTGTTGCCTCAGTAAGCTTAGCACGATGAATATAGTCCATGACGCTGCAAAAGTATGCAAAGGGGCCTGAAAAACTCCAAAATGTTCTGCAACCCAGTGAGGTTAGGTAGCCGGCATTCGATGTCAGCCTACGCAACATTTCCACCATTCCCTACAACCCGGACTTTCTTCATACCAAACCACCATCCCTTTTGCTATTTAACTTCTGCCCTCATCTCGGCCTCCGCATTCTCGTGTCCAGGATAACGTGCGCTCGTCAAGTAGTGAGGTCGATGCTTGTTGTCATCGCCCCAGTTCCAAGATCAATGACCTCGTCGCGTACTACGCGTTTCTATCCAGTTGTCGTATTCTTACAGAACGTCTGGTTTTATGTTGATCGAAGTCAGCCTATATCACTTCAAGGTCACCACCAGCCAGCACCTTGGGATATGCAAAGGTGTGTTGGAGGAAGGAACTAACAATCTTACGAAGAATCATTAAGTCTTTGTGGAGCTGCGTGAAGCGTACATGAAGCTCAAGACTGATTCCGGGACATGGAATGCAGATTGGTGCTGGGTACATGTATGTTTTATATTGTTCGAAATAAGCTGCCATACTGTCGAGATTTGCCGTAATCCGGCAGAAGTCTTCATTGTCGAAATCGAACATAAGAGGCTCTCTAGTAGGAAATAGGCGCACTGTCTTCAGACGCGGCAGCACGGCGACGAGCTTGTAGAATTCCTCATGTTTCCGAGCCAAATTTCGATCAGCATTCAGCTGCAGACACTCGAGATGCGTTTTCGGAAACGCGGGCAAGTGCCCGATCATTTCCAGAAAAATATTGACATTGTAACAATCGAGACAAGTCTGCGACCAGTAGGCGGCGTGACCTTCTTGGTAGACTTGGCGGCAGGTGAGGAGGAATTCCCAGTCCTTTGATGATCGAGAGATTTGGCGGCTTGGGAACACGCTGACCACAGAGCCGGCGAAAAGAAAGATGTATATAACCATCCGGATTTCAAGAGGAAGAGAAAGAATGCCTCCATGCGGGCGCGTCCTGGTAACAGTCGGCATCTCGGGGGAATGCCGGTCGCTGATGAGATGTTTGACGGTTGTGATGTATCTTGGGAGTTGAGATGCGCAAAATGGTGAGGAAGTGCTGTTCAATCCCAATTCAAAAGATGCCAGTGGAAAAAGATGTTAGTAAAGTTCCCTGATGCAAAATGTGGCCTCTTATGCTTAGAAAGTCCATATGCATGTAATTGAGTTCGTGGAAACATGAAGCCATACATACGCAGTTGAACTCAACAGACTCAGCCACCCAATACCACATTACTTGCATGTTGGTATACTACTCATAAAGATTGCTGAGATTGCCAAGATTGCTGAGATTGCTAAGATTGCTATAGCGGGTCTTAAGAATTGGCATTTTCCAACGTCAGTTACACAGCTTCCCAAGGCGAACCCGCACGATCTCCTCAAAGCGCCGGAAAGACCGAGCAGAGTTGCGGGTGGTGAGAACGCTTTCAGTTACGGCATACAATTATCTGCAAAGCCAAGACTCGATGGGTAGATTGCCTTCAAGTGGTCCTTCAACCTCCCAGAAAGGAGCCCGGCGTCAGCCATGGATCATGAAACATTTTGTAGAATTACGGCTTGCATTTGTCCCTAAGGCTTTTCATCATCTAGAGTATGGATCACTCGAAGCACGTACTGCATGTTTATGACGAAAGCGCAGAAAAGATTTGAATTTGATGGGGCTGGATAACTTGAAAAGGTGTTGACCAATTTGATCGTGAATATTGCAGACACCTGCCAAAGTGATTCCCGAAATGACAGAACAGGATTTCTTTTCCCTCACCGGCCCCAACTCAAGTTTCGTGACCGACTCCAGTCAGGGGGAGCGAGAAAGACTGAATAACAGCCACCACATACAACAACTAGAAGTCTTCATGTCAATCAAGGCCTGTTATGTAACACGTATCGAAAGCTACTTACAGCTGCGACGAAGTATGGTAGACCAATCTCGCCAGAAAGTTTTGATTTCAGGCCAAGGTCAAAGAAACCGGCGAAAGCAAAGTTTCCTGACAATCCAGCAAGAAGCTCGATCAAAGCAGCGCCTGCGAAAAGTTCCCCAGTCGAAGCAGGGTCGGCAAACGAAGCCAGGATACCTTGGAGAGACTGCCCTATGCCGAGGCCTACGGAGTCAAATATCGATCCTAGTGAAAAAGAAGTGTTATCATGAGATCGGCGGTACGCCAAAGAAGGTGAGTTGTTACCAATGATCAAAGTTGCCGTGTCTCTGCTCATGCCGAGCAGAACTGATCCTATGAGCGAGGCCAAAAGACTGACCAAAACAACGCGCTTGTTCATGCGTAGAGAAGCTGTGCCATCCTGGCGACTGAGAAGGCTCGATATGCCGGCCAAGACCACCAGAAGGACGAGGCCAACGAAACTCTTGGCCGACAAGACGTATCCAGCCTTGGCTATCGGCCAATCCAGGACTTTCGAAGCATATTGAGCAAAAAGATGGGTGCTCTGTCTGGCGAAAACCGCCAGGAAAATAATGGAGAGGCAAACTCTGGGGCCCTTCGCCGGGATTTTGAGGCCTTTGAGAGCCTGTTTGAGCTTGTTCGCCGCTTTCTGCAACATTACTCGTACCATTGATTGATCCTAATCCAAGTCAGAAAATCCATCGAGACATACTAAAAATTACTGATGTTCAAATACCTTGGGTTGGTTGGTAGGGCTCATGTCGTCTGCGTTGTCCTGGGTTTCTAGCTTTTGCGGTACATGCGTTTCCGGCAAGGCAACCACGAGCACCAACGAGGCGAGGAGAAACGGCGTAGCAATCTTGAAAGGCAACCAGAGATCTTTCAATAGAAGCTGAGATCCGACGGGAACCATAATGATCTCAGTGATGAAAATCCAGGCTCCTATGGCATAGAAGATGGTAGGTCGAAACTTGGCAGGGGCTGTATCGACGACGATCGAGTTCAGGCTGGCAATCATAACTCTGTTGCCACCACCAATTATCTGGAAGAGAGGCGCCGCGAGAGTGACGTTGGTGGAGAAGGTCTCATGAAAATAGCCTGTTGCCTTTTAGTTTCGCCATGAGAAAGATAAATTGCGAAGACTCACATATCGCCATGAGAGCAAAGACTGATAAGATTTGGCCGAACAGCGCCAAGAAGACGACTAGCTTGCGTCCGATTGCATCGGAGAGGTAGCCGTAGGGAAATGTGAGGAGAATTCCTACAGTAAAGGTCAATATTGTGACTTCCTACTTGGCGATCACATGAGATAGTTCGTGACTATGAGAAGAAAAAACTGTTCTTGCCTGGTATCGTCCCGATCAGATTCCGCGTGGCTCTAAGATAAGCTAAGCTCGTCTGGATCTCCTTGAGCTTGCAGAGCTTCTCGTCCACGTAAGACAAGGGAGGTCCTCCGATGACTGATGGATCGTGCTTGCGGTAATAGTCTCGGCAGACTGCCATTTCAAGAAGTCGGATCTCGGGAATGCCAATCATGGACCCGCCGATGTCTGCGACCAGGACGATGATGAGTATCACGATCAGTGCATTCGGAAACAACGGGTGCTTCTGCTGTACTGCCTCATCTGGTTCCGATTGATCAACATGGTCGGTCGGCGTCCTGACCCGCGGCGGGTGCTCTGCAAGTAAGGGAGACGTCTCTCCTGACATGCTTGGCGACGTGATGAGAAACTCTTGGGCTCAATCCAGATAATGAATGAAATCACCCTTAGAAACACAAGGAAAGTCGCTCGGGCTTGCGCTGGTATACGTTTCCCGTCGATGCCGGTGTTCTGGAATCACGGGTTGTGAAGCTTCGTCATGTCGGCGTGGTTCTCTGAGAGACACAAACGCGTTTGTTGGCGGATTGATTAGGCGGACTGCGTACTGTCTCACGTCACTGTCAGGGAAGCGACGGGCCAAGAAGGAAGGTGGTTTGCGCTGTGCCGCAGCATTGGAACGATAGATCAGCACGTTTGATGATCTATGACAGGCATGATCAGCCATTCGACCTCTATCGCTGATAAGAACTCTCAACATCCGCGCACTTACTACACAGCAACAAAACTCAAGAAACTGAAATTTTTCGATTGAATCCAGTATCCGGGAATTTCTAGAAAGAGACAGACCGCTCCGGTGACTATTCGAGACCCAGCGGTAATGCCGCCCACTCATCCGCGGCCGAAATGGCCTGAAAAACAAAGACAGCGCTGTTGGCACTCACGATCAATAAGCAATGAGGCCCTGTAAATGAAACAGTAATGATCATTTCGAAAAAAACAGAAAAAGCTGCCCACGATCGCTCTCATGATGAATATGCTTTAAGTGAATTTATGTCAAGAAATGAAGACGATTAGAGAACAAAATAGAGAGCCGCAGCATGTCCCGACTACCCTGATAACCTCGCCTAATATGCCGCTTGCCCAAACGAGATGCTTACAACAAACTCTAACAGCGCTGACCGGGAAATGGGATGTCAGACTCGCATAGCCGCCGACCAATGGTAGTGATTGGAATAAAACCCGCTAGTTTCACTGGGAATGCAGCCGTCAGCCGTCAAGCCGCCGTGTCTTCTACATAACGTCAGATCACGGAGAATCCTCCGAACAACTTTGATGATAAGAGCCGGGGACCACGCTCATACCCGACCCAGTGACTCGCATCCCCCTTCTGCAACGCTTCATTGAGGCGCATGCTGGTCACTATGCCGCAATCAACAATAAGCAGTTCTCATATCTGGACAGCGGCCATCGCTGCGGGGACTGCTGCGGTCATCTACTTCTTCACAAAGTTCTACGCGGCCCGAGAGAGGATATGGACACTGCAGAGAGCGAACCTAGTAAGACACCATTACTGAACAAGTAACGAAAAGAAAAAGAGCGCTAACCCCCGATCGCCAGCCGATGCCGAAGTTCTCCTTTCTCGGAGGTCACTTCCCAGTGCTCGGCAAGGTCATGCGCTCCCTGCCATCAGATTCCATCGTGCATAACATTATGTGGCATATCTCACATGACTACCCAAACGGTATCTTCTACATGAGTCTATGGCCGTTCACCGGGACCGTGATGATCATCGCCGATGCGGATGCTGCATCTCAGGTCGAAGGTCGTATCATCGGCAAAGGACCCGACATCATTCCTCCTTTGGAGACCATCACCGGGGGCAAGAGCCTCTTGACTATGGAGGGAGAAGAGTGGAAGAAGTGGCGACGTTTGTTCAACCCTGGCTTCAGTGCGGGTTATATGATGGGTTTGGCGCCTCTGATTGCAGACGAGGTCGCTGTCTTTCGGCAGAAGCTGCTAGATCGATGCTCGGAAGGAGTCAGCGAGGTTTTCCAACTGGAGGACTTAACCTTGAGACTCACTTTTGACATCATCGGATCAGTAGTCCTGTAAGTTATCTCTTCTGCTGTGCTCGAGGGCATCCCACTGACTTATCTCGATAGGGACGTCCGTCTTCGTCACCAAGTTGAAGACCACCCACTAGCCACGGCGCTCCGCAGACAGATCGAGTGGACGACGTTCTCAGCACCTTTGAATCCCTTGACCAAATACTTTACAGTCCGGCCACTCGTGCACTGGCTCAACGGTAAGCATTTGGACAGATGCATCGGCAAGGAGCTTGATGAGCGCCTCACAGACTACTTCAGTCAGCAACCATCGTCGGCGAGCAAAGCCCCTTCAAAGTCTGTAGCGTCCCTATTCATCGATGAGTATGTGAAAGAGATGGGTGAAAAGAGAGTAGAAGACACTAAAGAGGCCATCAAAAAGATCATCACCCCGCAAGTGAGACTTTTCCTACTAGCCGGGCATGATACAACCAGCAGCACACTGCTATACTGCTATCATCTCCTCTCGAAGAATCCCAAGATTCTTTCCCGAGTGGTAGAAGAGCATAACGAGATCTTTGGCCTAAATTCGTCCCAAGTTCAAGACAAGATCCACCAAGACCCTCAACTTCTCAATAAGATCCCGTACACCTTGGCTTTCATCAAGGAGGTGCTTCGTATCTATCCTCCAGCAGGCGCTATGCGAGAAGGAAGCTCAGATCTGGACATCATCGACGAAGACGGCCGCGCACACCCGACCGAGGACTGCAGCATCTGGACGCTCATCCTTGCCATCCACCACAACCCAAAATACTGGAAGGATCCAGAGCTCTGCATTCCAGAACGCTGGCTGGTTGGGCCAGAAGACCCTCTGTATCCTCACAAAGGGGCCTGGCGGCCGTTCGAATGGGGCCCGAGGAGCTGCATAGGACAGACGTTGGCGCTCTTAGAACTCCGAATTGCGTTGGCGATGACTGTCAGGGAGTTTAAGATAACGGCCGCCTATGATGAGTGGGATCAGCTCCATGCTAAGCGTGGGATCAAGACTATCAATGGCGATAGAGTTTACCAAGCTGCAAAAGGAGGAGGCGGAGCTCATCCAGCCGACGAATTTCCTGTCAGGATCGAGCTGCGATAGTGGTAGTCGAATACATATATCTGGTTGAACATAAGGGTTCTAGCTCATTCGAAAGGCAGAACAAATAAGTACTCGGCGAATGTCGGCGATAAAGGCGAGAAAGCATCGAGAATCTTTGACCAAATCGTGGAACCGAGAAGTTCTTAACATTCAACTTTCCTTTCGATGCGGAAATACGCCGGTACTCGGACAGATTCAACTCGCATTCGGACTTGCACTTTTTTCTCAGTGTCCGAGGAAAACCTGACCTTCAAACTCAAAAGAACATGAGAAACTCGATCCACGTTGCCACGAGAATTCCACTTGGCGCGGCAATAACCCACAAGCAGTGACCCAGCGGAAATAACCCAGTTGACACCAGACATCTGCCGAACGACTGCCGAACGACAAAGGGGCACTAGATATTCACGTCTCAATTCCCCGAAAGATAATGATTTTCTTCACCGTTGGCCATAAGTTTGCTACCATGCATCCTCTGAAGATGTTGGTCAGCTGGACAGTCCAATTCCTTTGTTGGTCGCGTTTGCTGCTGGCAGGTTTGCGTGACATCGCACCCTGGCTAAACTGCGACGTCGCATTATCCACAGTCAGCGCTTAAACGTTTGGAACTTTGGATGCAAGGGATGCGCAAATATGGAGTCTTTGATAAAATAACCAGTGGGTCTGTCAAGATACATCCCGTAAGCTTCAGGGGATGAGTGGTATTCGGGGACCTTGAATTTTCCGCTAAGACGATTTGCGGTAAAGCGAAGACGCGGACAAGATAGCTTCTGCATGTCGAGATCGGCCTTCGGATGCATAATAAGTGGCAGCACGATGTCGATATAAGAGCTACTACTTCCCCCACCGCTTCTGTCCTCTTACACAGCATCTCATCTTCATCATTAGCGGCATAGCGACGGCGTTGAACCCCTTTCAGCAACCATCGATACCAACAAGCGGTGAAGAGAGGCGAACAAGATGGCCACCCAAAACACCAAGAGCCAGGTCATCATCGTTGGCGGTGGCATTACGGGCCTCGTATTGGCCTTGATGCTTCAGCATTCCGGAGTCGACTACGTCCTGCTGGAAGCTTACGACTCCGTCACACCAAACGTAGGAGCCAGTATTGGTCTCTTCCCCAATGGTTTGAGAATCCTTGACCAGCTCGGCCTGTTCGAGGACATCCTCGAAAAGGCCCAGCCAGTCAACTGCATGATTGTCAGAGACCACACCACGGGCAAGCGCATTATGACGCGGAGAACGAGACAGCTGATCACCGAGCGCCACGGCTACCCGACCATGTTCATGGAGCGTCACGAGCTCTTGTGCGTCATGTATAAGCACCTCAAGGAGAAGAACCGAGTTTTTGTCAATAAGAAGGTGCAGCGCGTGGAGACTTCGGAGGATGGCGCCTTGGTTTACACGGCAGACGGCTCCGTTTTCGAAGGACAGATCGTCGTCGGCGCCGACGGCGTCCGAAGCACCATCCGCCGAGAGATGTGGAGAAACGCCGACGCCGCAAACGACTCCGCCGCCATCCCGGCCCGGGACAGACAAGACGTCCCGTGCGAACACGCCTGTATCTTCGGCACCGCCAAGCCCACCGAGGGTGTTCCCGCCGGCGAGGTCGTTGGAGCGAGCGGTCCCGGTACGTTGGCTGGCTGCATGGGCGGCCCGGGCTCGGAGGTTTTCCTCTTTTGGTTCTGGACGCTGCCGGAAGGCCAACGCAAGTGCCCGATCAACGAGATCCCGCGCTTCGATGAGGAGGACAAGCGCCGCGAGTTCCAACGCGGGGCTGAGGCGCTTGTTGCCGACAACGGCCTGCGCTTGAAGACAGTCCAGGACAACCTGCTGTACAGTGGCGTGACGGCGCTGCCTCACTTCGTTATGAGGAAATGGCACTATGGCCGCATCGTCATCCTCGGCGATGCCGCGCATAAGTTCAACCCCCTCGTCGGCCAGGGCGGCAACAGCTGCATAGAGTCTTGCGCTTCTCTGGTGAATGCGTTGCAGGAGCAAAGCCTTTTTGGCCCTCAAGGCAGTAACGCGTCTTCCTGGTCATTGTCCAGTGTCAGCAAAGCCTTTATCGCCGTCGAAAACCAGCGCGTCCCCCGCCTTGTCGACATGGTAGAGGAGTGCCAGGACGCCATGCGCACCTCCGCCTGGAACTCGTGGAAGGGTCGCATGCTGCTCAAATATGTCATGCCCTTGATGCCGTTGGAAAAGTACGTCAACTTTTACAGTAACCAGATCTCCGGCGGTCTACGTCTGAATAGCATCGATCCTCCCAAGGCGGCACACAACTGGCCGTATGAAGATGAGAAGACGCCCGAAGAAAAGTCTCTGGCGATTAGCAAGGCCAGCGTCGTGGCTACGATACCAGTGGCTGCGTTGACTGCGTTCTTCCTGGCAAAGATATTGCGGAGCGAGAATGGACTCGGTGGTTCGATGTTGATGTCTCGGATTATTGAAAGGGTTTCTAGCTTCAGACAATGAGCGTTTGTAGAGAATTTCATATGTAACACCTGATAGATTAGAAGCAACACATAGAATACCATGGTATTTGCAGGCTACCATTGATGATTGTAATCGAGCTCATGATGAGCTTACTATTTGCATAACCATCCTCTGACCTCTTCTCTCCAGGTTTATGCCACTCATACTAGCATAGAAGTGGCCAGCGGCGCATTTGCTTGCAAACATCAACCCACGTGGGAGAACCAACAGCACCACCAGCGGAATCTCGTTGTCTCCAGACTTCGGTTAGGACTTCGCTCGAGACGGAGTAGCTTTTCCACCCAGACTTCTCACCAGCACGACTCAACCAACACTCAAACCTATGACGTTGCTCAGAGCCTGTTGCTTCCGCTCCTGCAATAAAAGCAGGCCAAGCCGTCCCCGGGCCCAGCAATTCATGCTTCTCTAATGCCTCATCAAAGGCATGTAGAGACTCAAGGACCTGATTGACACTGTCTTGAAGCATCATAGGATGGATCTTCCGAATCCGTCGGTAGAAGAATATCACGAGCGCAGCACTGAGTGCTCGTGCCATGTGGATATGAGGACGACCTTGATTCGACTCGGTTTGAGCCGCCGACTGATACCGTGTTTTGAACTCGCATACGGCTTCTTCCAATGACGATGCCTTCGGCTGCAAGGAAGCTAACGCCTCAGCATTAGACTTGCTGTTTGGAGGAGCCAGACGATCCATGACGTTGGCGAGCCGAGTGACTTGCGATACAAGCCTTAGCCAAGTCTCTGGAACGCCGTAAATGCGCATGTGCATATCTTCATGGCAATTCAGAGAACTGACTAGGTGAATGTCGCGGTTGGCGTCGTGGCCACGACTGCCGCTGCTGGTGTCGCTTTGGAGCTGAAAAGGCTCGAGATGGAGAAAACTGTCTAACGTTATATCGGGATTGATGTCGAGAACGGCGGCTTCTGCTGTGCCTGGCGCGGGCTTCGCTCGTGGCGTCGCGACAGAATCTTCTTCGGGCGTATTCAGCCCAGTGCGAACCAAGCTCAGTGGTCTGAAGTTGAGCTGATCCTCTTCATGCAATACTTTTGTGCTTTCGGAGACTATTCTCATCCATGCGTAAATGTTGTGGAACAAGCGCGCTCGACGCGAAAGCTTGGGTTTTGTCAGGCCTCGGAACCGAATCAAACGTTCCATTTCTACAAGGTATCTGTGTGAGTCAAGCTCGTTTCCGGATAAAAGCTGAAGACTTTGTTAGCCGATGAACCACAAGATAGCTTGGTATCACCTACAGCAGTTGCCAGTACGGCGCCGACAGCCATAAGTTGCTCCTTGTATTTGGCTTTCTTCGGGGAGGTTGGGTTGGACTCGGTTTTAAGACTGGTCTTCAGGTGCAACCTGGCAGCTTCGTATGTTCTAGACGACAAAGACTTCCAGTAATGCTCCGGTCTATGCAAGTCGGGTGATTTCGCTGAGTTCAGCGACAAGTGAAACGCAGACACGGCAAGAAGCCCGTAAAGATTCGCCATGCTGGCATGTGTAATTTCTTCCTTGCTTATGCCAAACATTGTCAATTGACTGAGAGTTAGAATGGCAGAAGGTACGTTGAGAATTCTCCAACCAGACTTCTCATTAATAGGCAGCGAACCCATCTGGTTGATGACTTCGTCGTTGAAATGCTTGAGCAACGCTGGTGCATCAACGGTCATGTCCACTTCTGGCCATCTGATATCAGGTTTTGTTTCAGACAACCTTGTGGCAGTTGTAGTTGCTTCTGGGCATAATATAGCGTCGTGGATGTCAAGCTCCGTAGACCATTCTAAGGCGGCATCGATAGTTTCTGAATTAGCAGCGGGCAGAGATGACGAAGCTTGCCCCAGGAAATCTGTGTCCCAGGTGAAAAGATCTCCCCACTGTAGGAAATCAAGAGAAGGTGAGAAAACTTCATCCATGGCATTCGAAATGCTGAAGCTGTTGTCCAAAGTATCGGTGTGCTCACTTGATTCGATGTTGCATCCTGCGTTCTGGTGGTTCCTGTTTTCTTGACCGGCGACAACCAGGGAAGGTGATGTTGCCATCGAAGAAGAGCAGAACGCTGAGTCTATGGAAGCACATCCGTGGATAGTCTCGGCTGGAGACATCATTTCGACTTCTTCTGCAGTAGTAGACGGGCCTTCGTCCCAAGAACTAACCCCTTCGAAGATTCCAAAAGGTCCAATGGCCACTGCAGCACGTGTGTGTGCGGCTACGTGCTTCGATTGCTCTTCAATCTGGTTGAGAGCGGCTGAAACTGTGGAAGGCATATTATCTATGAGAGCCGAGCTCATAGATCTTCTAGAGTCCTCTGATACCACGCTCAGTTGTGCTCCAACACCACATATGCACTGGGTTTCAACTGACTTACCGGTAAATAGATGTCTTCTGGAGTACTGGCTGTTTTCTTCATCCATTTGTGGTGCAGGTATATTGCATACGTCGGGACCGTTGCTCACGAGCCAACGCAGCGCTGGTCTGAAGTCGCAGGATAGGCCGGCAAGCCTGCATCTCGTACATTTCGGCAGTGTCTGGTCGCACTTGAGATGGCGTTTTCTGCAAGTCTTGCAACCTTCGAAAGAATGGGATCCTTTAGGCTTTTGCTTTTTCATAGTAGATTTCGAACTTGGCAGTGACGCAAAAGTTTCCCAACAGAGGGAACTGCTCTAGCTAGAGAGTTTTGGTCCCGAAGATGCCGGCACTATGTTCTTATTCCATGATAAGTCGTAAGAGGGATGACACCAAGACTACCGCGTTGCATGAGAACTGATAAGGCAAACCAATCAGATCAATGCTATATCACCCCGCGTTTCACTGACATTTGCGTGGAGTAGGTAGCGTGGCATCTGCAATATCGGTTTGGGAAGGCCTCCGCGAGAACCGACATGGATCCACTTAACCAGCCGAAGGTCAACACATCGCCAACGTCACGAGGTGTCGCACAAGTATTACGTAGGTTCACGCGAAATACCAGTACAAGTCTTGTTCATTATTGCGTGACGGTCAATGATGAACCGTCAGGCTTTATTTGAATTACGACTAATCCTCTTAAGACTGAGCTTGTCCCACCAATCCAACTCTCTTGCTATTTGGTCGCCGATCTTTGTATCATCTATAGGCGATAGCGATATATCCGTGGTTGACAGCATAGTCTCGGATATCATACGGAAGTTGTTCTTCCTGTAGTATATAGTGCCCGGCCTCAGTGGCGCGGCCTCCGTGTCCTTTCTAGAGAACTTCTTGCTAAGACTCTTCATCAACGGCCGCAGAGCGGGCAGGCTGGCGCATAAAATTGCGCAAAAGACCTCAACGAGAGACCAAATGACGATGTCGATGTTGTCCCAAGTCACGTCAAAGGTGGTGGAAAACCTGATGAGGAACTTCAACCTCACCATACTGGTGACACAGGCGCTTCGCGAGATTAGCAAGAGTCATCGTCCGGATAGGAAGCTACTCACAATGATCCCAAACTGAAAATAAACACGACCATTGCCTTCTTCCTTTTACTGAGTTGCAGCGTGAGCAACTCGGGTATCGGGAGTAGCAAAATGCAAAAGTCTTCAACGATGCTGAAGCCGGCTCCGCTGTAGGCTATCGCTGTGATGTCTCGGCAGGATCGGTTTGGATCGCTGAGATCCCAAATGGACGAAATCGGATAGCATTCGAAGATGACCACAAACATGAAGACGACTCCGTGTAGCACCAGGAACCCAATGAAATAGCGGATTGTAAGTTGGAACCATCGCGAGGCCGAGAACAGGCGAGAGAAGAGTAACAAGATCGATATCTTGGCGAAAACTTGGACGAGGATGTAAAGTTGTTGGCCGGCGTAGAAGAGCTGAATCAATTTCACACTTGCTGATGGATCGACATTCCAGTAGTGCAGCCCGAAGCCGATATTGGTTCCAGCGATCTGGACGCCCGCCATCGCGGCAAGGAGGACCGTAGCAATGACGACCATGGCGTCGTCCCACCACAGCTGTTTGGTGACCAGCCATCGCGACAAGCACCGCAGTCCGACAACGGGAAACGTGATGACCGAGAGGCAGATGGCAATCACTTTGGCCTCGTTACTCCTGGACTCCTTTGGATATGCGGCACAAAGCTCGGTCTGGAGCTGCGCAGCACCTGCCCATCTGTAAGCTATGGCTCACCCAATACATCGCGGATGTGATGAACTTACGTGTTTGGTCATCGAAGAAACATTTTATTTGTACGCAAGTCGACAAGTTGGCCTGAAGCTGAATGTTCGGGCACAAGCAATCCGTAAGAGCGGACACCTTGGTCAATGAGCAACCGCCATTGATAAGATCAGTCGTAACACACGGAAGCTGTGGTGAAAGAAATAATTAGTGACCGACTCAATGCCATATCACGAACGCAGAAAACCTAATGGCAGTGTCGTCGTAAACGGGCGGGCTTGGACTCACCGCACAGTTGGGGACCTGAGAGAGGAGCGCCGTGATGCTTTTCGTCTCAGACGAAGATGCCAATTGCAGCAACCCCAGAATCGTGAACAGCAACATGTCTCGGCGACGTTGCGTCGCGTTTGTAAACATTATTGAAACATGAAAAATACCGTATACCACCAAACGGTGGAGGCGGGGGAGAGAAAGAGAAAGAGGATCAGTCCTTCGCGGGGCAAAGGCGGATTTCTGTCCTCCATGGCGCTGCCATTGATTTTAACAAAAGCATTCAATTCAAAAGGAGAGGGAACGGACTCCTTCCACATGGCAGATAGTGCCTGTCTCAAAACGCGCGGCGCGCTTACATGGAGATCGACGTTGTGCTCAACGCCATCCCAACGCCGCCGCGGCGGATGCTTGGCTGAAAAGGGTAGACTCGCGAGAGGGAATGGGGATTGGCACACGGACTCAGAACCGGCAAAGTGGCACAAGGAGTAGGACGACCTGTCACGCTATCAGTGCGGCAAGAGGGCAGGTGTAGAGGAGGGAATAGGGGCGATCAACTTCGAACGTGGGAAGTCTGACAATGACGACGTTGGACCGAGGCTGGGTATGGATCGACTTTGATGAAAGATAGCTTCGACGGTCGAATGAATTCACCAGTGAGAATGATAATATGAGGATGATGATAGCTTTCTTTGCCCCTTACGAAGGTTCCGATGTCTGCCGGGCGATCCTTTCGATTCAGTCTGGACGTCGCTTACATTGAGCATCGCCCTGTTGTGCCGGCCGCTGGTAACAACCATACCAATACCACACGAGCCGGGTGGTTTGAAGACACAGCTTTGTGCATGGACTCTGCGCCTAGCTCGCAATAGTGTCCTTTAGCCGTAAGACGAGCAGACTTAGTGCGTTTTCGCTGACGGATGGCGGTCGGCTAACGTGCTTAGTGTAGAAGTTCGGCTAGTCTCAGAGGTCATAACTCGGCATGCCGCTTGATACAGAGACTCATTCAAGCGCAACCAACAGCCCTTCTCGGCCTCAAAACGTTGGGCTGGAGCATTGCGCAGCAGCCAGTAAGTCCCGAACAAGAAAGATAGCTGTTTCATGAGCCTCAAGAGGCGTATATTTCTACGCCACCCTCGTTTTCGGCTTCATGTTGTTTACAAACTGCTAAACGAGTGATTAGAATGACTCGAAGTGGCTGGCTGGTCTTAATCGTGTTCAACAACACAGATATGGGAGCAAGGTCGGTACGAGCTATGCGAGATTGACAAATGTTGGAGGTACATACCTTATTTACCATCGCCGTCGCAACGTTCAGATGGGGTACTAGGGCTGTGAACACCAAGTTGGTCCAAGTCCCGCATCAAACAACATGATTCATGAATGCGAAAGGGGAAGGCGATCCCGAGTAGCGCCACAACCACCCCACGCCGCACATAGCATGCACGCGTCACGACCAATGCGTGCTATACATTGCAATGTCGAGATTGTAAGATGATCATGGTGTTTAACGTGCTAATGAGATATTCCAGTTTAGATAGTAACGGCAAACTCCATACACGTAAGAAAGCTACAAGGACAAGCGACAGATATCCAGAACTACTCCTGCTCACCGAGCTATCTCTAGACTTGATGTTTCCAAAGAGCCAAGCTTAGGTAAACAACTTGGTGATCCTACGATTGTTCCATTCCCAAGCGGTGACGTCTTCGTATCGGCAAGGCGTAGCATCGGTGATAAACTCCTTCAAAGGAAGTAGGGAAGCATGGCGGTTCGGCTTCACAAAGTACGCGATCGAGTATCTCTCAGGAATCTCGACGTTGTCTCCGGCCTTGATCGCAGGCGGGTACGTCACCCTATGACACGCCGCCCGGAAGGTGTCGTTGGTGAGACGCTGAAGAGAGTCGCCAATGTTGAGAATGATGTCCGTTGGAGCGGACGATTCGACACTTCGGAATTCGCCTGGCTGGGTCTGGTCCTCGACCTGGAGACCTCCAACAGAGTCCTGGAAGAGCATAGTGATGGTGCCAAAGTCGGTATGTTCGGCGATGCGAGTGGCGGTGCCGTCCGCAAGGTCCGAAGCCGGAATGGCCGGGTAGTGGAGCAAGCGGAACTCATTCTCGGCGCGGTTGTGGAGCGCCTTGATGTGGTCCTCAGAGATGCCGAGGGCAATGGCGAGTGCAGATAGTAGCTGCATCTCCGTCTTGAATGCTTTCTCGTAGAAATATTCCATGAAGCTACGGAAACCGGGAAGACTGTCATCAGGAACCCAGAGGTTGTCGACAAGATCATCTTGAGCGCTGCCCATGTCGAGGGTTTCCTACGTTGTATTAGACAGGCTAAGTCAAGCGTCGCGTTGCGCATCCCAGCTCGAGCACTGACCTTGATATCACGAGTCTTGTTCGGGCCAAGGCCCTTTTCGTAGCCGCTAATGTTTCCAACATTCTCCTGGCCGACGAAGCTGTATCCGCGGTTGGGGTTGGCTTGGGGAGGGTGCTTGGCTATCATCTTGGTGTCAAGGGGAAGTGCGAAGAACTTGCGACTCTAAGGGCTAGGTTAGAAATATCAAGTGGAAAGCAAAGTATGATCGGCTTACCATGTCGAACAGCTTGTGAATGTCTTCGTCGGGAATGCTGTGGTTCTGAATTTTGACACCACCCCTCAACTTCAGTAGACGAAGGAGCTCTGTGCAGAAGTATTGCTTTTCTTCGGGTGTCCCGAAGAACAGCGACATGTCGAGAGTAGCACCTTTATCAGCCATGATTCCGACTTCAGTATGAATGATATTGCAGAGACTCTGAGGTCTGTATGATTCGAGGTACGTTATGAGAAGATATTGTGTGTTGATTTGTGGTACAGCAACATTCAGAATTTCTCGAGCTGGAAATCGAAGGCCTTTAAGTATTTGGTGAATCTCATCTCTGCCTACTCTTTCGGGATGAAGGCATGATTGACGTTATACTCAGCCGTCCATGACAAAACTCATACAATCGAAATAGGCAAGAATATCTTATCCGCAGGTTACCTATCCGGGATACGTCTTTGTTTGAGCTTGCCATGGCATGTGATTAGATCTGTATGCTGAAATCCAGTTTAGACGTAGACATCCTGTAGTGCCGTTCTGATTGGCTTCTCAGAGAGCAGGAGATCCCGAGCCGTAGTTTATGCTGGCTACCAAAAATGGCAGGTGGGGCAGCTGCGTGCAAACAGGCAAGAGAACCCGAACCCCAGCGACGGACGGGCTGACGGACATCTCACAAGGATGATCATATAAACATCGAAGACTAAGTCGAGACAAGTAGTTGAATGACCTATTGACAGAAAAATAAGACATATACAATGGATAATAAGGGTATCATGGCGAGATCATTGGGAAATTTGACATTATCAGATCAAGCTCTCATTTCTGCCGCAATTGAGGAAAGATTTCTGCTATCGATCAATATTTGAGCATTAACTACCTAGTGAAACCGTAAGTTGGAGCCTTTAATAATATCACCGCGAGAAAATCAATCTGTCTCCATGTTGTGTTCGACTTGTGACTTGCCACCAGGCCACCTGGCGTCTGATACTGCCCCCAAAGCCATTCCGAAGTGTCTAAACTTTGGGCAGTATGGGAATACTTCATAGCCACAGCGTTGGCATATTGATTGTCACGTAAAGAGTCTAGATTTCTCTCAACTGACTTGATTAGTGTCGGTCGTTCTCGCCGTTATGACTCCAGTTGGGTAGATAGCTGACTAGAAGCTCACAATGCACCGCGTCTCAGTTTATCAACAGGCTGTACGCTTTACGCAGTCAATTCAGAATACAGTCCCAGATACTGATATAAATCCGATTTAACAAGCCGCCAGAGAAACTTGCCCCTTGCAGTTGGCCGTGGTGGCAACTTTGGGGCTTTCCTGTCCCTTCTGAACGCCCTTGAACTCCTGGCAGACCTTGACAACAGATGTGCCGCATGAGTTGGAGACGGTGGAAACGTCGCCAAAGTTGGAGTTGATGCCTGCAATGAGTGTGAGGTCGTTAGCCTTGAGGTTCTGGACAACCACGTTGCGAGGGCCCCCGTTGTTGGCGCAGTTTCCGCAAGATCGGTAAAGACGATTTGAGTCAACGACGGTGTAGTCCTTGATGGTGACAGTTCCCTGACCCTGGTGACTGACCACGTTATCAACAGCAGTCTGAGCACCTCCGCCCTCGATCAAGACGTTGCCGTTGCCCTTGAGCGTGATGGCGCCTGTGTGGTGAGCTGGTTAGTTCTTTGATCTAATGATGGAGCGTGTCGGCATCATCGCGTGTAAGAACTCACCGTCGCAAACACGGCGGAACCAGACATTCTTCAAGGTGCAAGCGCCTCTGCAGTGAATGCCCTCGACTTGACCTGCGCCGATGATGGCGTTGCTGAGAGTCGCGCCATCCTCCAGGATGAAGACTGGGTGTCCACCTGGCGTCTCAACATCAGTGAAGCAGGAGCGTCCTCGGTCGTACTCCTTGTTGCCCATGTCCTTAACCCCAGAAATAACGCTGGGTGCCGGCAAAGAGATTATGGCACCGCTGCGGGTTGGGATGTTGAGGGTCTGGCCGGCGGCGACACTAGCCAGAAGAGCCGCAGAGATGATCTTGGTGATAGACATATTGGGAAACTAGGAAGAATGACAGACGATTGGAGGGGAGTATGTTATGCTCGAACGCGAAACCGTTGAAGGAGTAGCCTCCCGGTCCAGAATGAAGAAACATGTGCAGCTCTTAAGTCTAGGAGCTCAATTGACAGCAGACCCATGGCCACCATCGTCAGGCGAGGTCAAAATAGGGAAACCTCAAGACATCGGGGCAACTATCCGTAGTTGCTCCGTATAATCTCCTCTTTGAGGCAAAGCTAGATCAAGTCTGTCAGACAGCTACTCCCAAAAGCAATAATTTTCCGTGTGGGTTATCCGCGTCCTTTGGTTTCCTCGGGTCCCGTGGAATCCATACACGCAGCAGTCACTCAGCAATCAGGAGCAAATGCGAAAGCGAGCTGGATATGTAAGTGGCATTGCCTCTAAAGAAGAGGGGCCGGTGATTCGTGGTTAAATATCGGCTACACATGATATTGCCAACATGGAGTTACGGACTAATATTCCGTCCTTGGTGGACATAACAAGCAAGATTCTTCCACTCATCATGTCTGAGTTAAGAAGCGTTGCCGGTGAAATTAGAGTAGAGCCAAGTAATTTGGTGCTCTGAAACCTCTTGGCGGAGATCCCTGGGGAACGACGGCCCACTGGCGCTGATACCCTTGACCTGTAAAGACCCCTTTATTCAAGCTTAATCTCGTGTTCTCGCTTTCTTCTGCGTTGTCATACCATCCCACCAGTAGAATTCAAGACTACTCCGTAAAGAGACTCCAACCGGATTGACCGCCGACGTCAAGTATATTCCAGATTTAATTGTCTGCAAGACCAGCCAAGAGTCGAGCTGATGGCACGAAAAACGTACTACCAGTAACTGGCCGTGAAAAGTCCAATACCCGGTCGTGTAAGCCCGGTGGGTTCCCTACAAACATGCGTTCCATCATCTTCTCAATCACCCAGAGCTTCTTCGAGTAGCCAATGAAGTATGTCCCAAACTCACCAGAAGCTGGTGAGCCAAAAGGCATGTTGTCTCTCAGGATTTCGTGTTCGTTCCCGTCCTCATCTTCAATAGTCGTCAGACTCTTGTGAGACTTCTGCTGGTCGGGTGCGGCATCGCCAAGCTCATTGTTATCTAGCTTCGTCCGCCCGATAATGGTTTCTTGCTCCTCGGTCGAGAGACGTCTCCATGATTCTAGGTCGTGAAGATACTTCTGGACAACCACGTAGCTTCCTCCCAATGCAGTCGGCGTGGTGTCTTCTAGTTCAGTGACCAGAACGGTGTCAGACACGTCTGGGCCAACTGGGTTGGCGGTGCCGTCGACGAAGCCGAGCACGTCACGAGCATCAAAATAACGGAACCCGACCGTCTCATCCTCCACCGTGACAGCGTCGCTTAGTATGTCCATCAGTTGTCTCTCGAACTCGAAGGAGAGATCTCTTCTCTCTGATCGAATATGAAATAGCAGGTCTCCAGGGGTAGAGACAGCGGTGTACTTTGGTCCCTGAACCTCAGTGAAAGGCCGCAGCTCAGCGGGTCGGGGTTGCTGAATGATCTGTGTCCAAATGTCGTAGCCGATGCCTACGGTGCAGGACAATTTTCCATTGGGATGACGGGTGAAGATGTTCTTGGTGATGCCACTGATATTGGACAGCGCGAGTCGAATCCGTTGAGTTGCTTGAGGAATATTTGCAGCCGATAAGACGAGAAATGTGGCTGACTGTGTTAACGGAGCTTCAACTGCTTGCGGATCCATAGCGATGCTTGATGCCAAGTGACGGGCACTAGGGTGCCGGCAGCTGACATACAAGTTCCGGCGATGTTTTCTCGTAACCAGCGATTGTTTTGATGAGCTGGGAAAGCTGAACGATATTCGACAGGATTGGGTGATGAATCGGTATGGCGGCATACTGGCGGCATGTTTGGGGCTTGGGGGATGCCGTAATGATAACGTACCGTGAAGCATTCTAAGAGGGTTTCGAAAGTGGCTGGATGGGCCGATGACATCTCACATGTAATCCCGACAGAGTTCATGGGCAGAAAACCGTATCCAACGCGACAAATACATATGCAGTCCCACTACGTGTGCTGTAATACCACCTTGTTCAAGCTGTCTCATGCAAGCTGCTGACAGTAGCAATAATTTATTCATTGCATATAGGCCTGCATGAGAAATACACTATGCGGACCCATCACTCTGAAATGACAGGATTGCGGCACCGGCCCGGAGGTCCGCAACGGAGGTACCGGGCGGGCGCTGGCCGGAAGTTGTTTGCCGTGACTTGAACTCCGCAAGTGCCCCGCTCATAACTACGAAACTGTCTCTGGCTGCTCACCTCTGCGACATGTTTATACTAAAGCTTATTGCGTTTGGGGCATATGGAACGTGGAAGATCCCTACATGTACACCAGGGAAGCATTCCATAGCTCCCATAGGGCCAGGCCTCTCGAGAGACGGAGAGATCACCTTACGAAAAGGATCTGCGAGATGGAATTGATAACGAGGTATATGCATTGCTTCCCTACTTATTTGGAAAGTGTCCTGAAACTTTTCCTTCTCAATCATCTTCAGCATCGCGGGGATCGTGGTTCTTCCAGTATTTCTCGTAATCCTCCCAGGATTGAGACGGGAACGCAAGAGGCACGGTGATCGGGCCGAAAGGAATACCCTTCTCCTCAAACTCCTGAAGACGGGCTCGCGTGCTCTGTCGTGTACAGTTCACGCTGTAGACCGCAATCCGATGACACGAACTCGTCACATGCAAGCCCCAATTCCAAGCAGTGCGAACATCTGGAGGTTGAGTGTTGAGAGAGTTGTCCCAGCAGCGACAGACGATCTCGATCCAACCTTCAACATCGCATGGCAAATCAATCTCCCAAGTTCGCCAAGTCCACTTCCGCTTCTTCGACAGGTTCTCAACGGGGACGGTGTACCAACTGAAGCCGCCATCGGCCGAGAGCTCAACTCGCTCAGGCCAACGACCGCCGCCCGAGTACGCCCAGCCCTTGCACCGGATCTTACCGTTATGAATGACAACTTGCTTGGTCCACGGTGACATGATGGCCGAGCTGACGGGCATCTCCTGAATCTGAATGCCGTCTGTCATCTTGAGGTTGTGCTTGCCGACCTGTTGGGGAAAATAGAGGTATTCCTGGCTCTGAACCGGGGCCCGCGAGGGGTTCTTGATGGCCTTAATACGGTACAGCCATTTGACGCTTCGAGCTCCGATGTATCCGAAGACGACGATGCGGAGGGGGTATCCGTGGATACGCGGGAGGACCTCTCCATTCATCTCCCATGCGAGCATGACCTCGTTCGCTTTGACCTTCGACCACGGAACACTAACAAGGTAGTTCATCGTCTTGTCGTCCTTGAAGTAGGTGTCGGCGCCGTAGAATTCAAGATGCTTCGCACCATCAATCAAGCCACCGCAGGCCTTGATGACTTTCTTCAGACTGATACCGACGTAGCGAGCAGTGCCGATAGCGCCTTCGGCCCAGGGCGCCTGCGGAACTTCATCACCCTGGCCGGCATACTTGAGAATCTGCTCAATGCGACGAGTTCCGGAGCACTGCATGGTGATGGTCTTCTCCATGCGCGGAAACTTGGACTCGTCCATGAGGTCATCCATGGTGAAAGAGCGCGGGTTGGCCACCAGTCCGTCGAGAAGGAAGCTGTACTTGTCCTTGTCAATGATAGGGATGCCGCCATGGTTTCTGACAAAGTGAAGTGAGTTCGGAGTGATCTCTTTAGCGGTCACAAGTCGCTTGGGGGGCTCTCCGTTGTAAGGGAACTGAAGCAGATGAAGCATGTCGGGGTGCTTCTCCTTCAACACAAGGTCCCACGAGTCGTCGGGAATCTGGGTAAGCGCGCCGCCGACGGCGTGATGCCACATTTTCCAGTGAGTTCCCGGGAGCACTGGATTGGTTCCTGGAATGGGTCCCAGCTGGAACTCTGGATTGGGGGGGAACGTCTGAGACGTCAAGATTTTGTGTGCGGCGGCTTTCTTCTCGGGGTAATTCTCCCACTCGACGAAGCTGTGAGATCATTTCGGTCAACAAAGGCTCAGAGAACCGAATCGATGACGAGGAAAGATGCTTGAGACCTGGACGTGGAGGCGCTTACCCCGTCCAACCATCACGCTCTTCCGTGAAGAGCTTATTGCGGTCACCGACGCTCTTAATTGCCTCCTCGTCTTTCGTCAGTTCGCCGAAAATCTGGATCGGCAAGGCCTTCGTCTGCGGTCCTGTCATATCCAGAACAGGCAGGACAGCCCCGGAGAGGCCCTGCTCAATCTTCCACTCATCAGGACGATTAGTGGTCTTCATGGTCGTTAGCAGTCTTTGCAGTTGTCCCAGTAGTTCTCAATTTCGCACAATAGATCAAGCATCTGAGGCTTAAAGTGATGAAGAGAGGGGTGCAGAACTGAGTGTTGGTCATCGGGGCCCAAGGCTTATACGTCTTTTCCATGACGTCTGCCAAACAGGCCTGAGCTCAATGGCGAGACTCTGGTGGAATTCTGACAGCCCATGAGCTCCGCTTGTATGACAGGGAATGCAGCTCTTGGATAACCGCAGGTGAGAAGCACTGATTGGATGCTAACATAGCTGTGAAGTTTACACAAAAACCAAAATCGGTCGACTTGAGATGACTTAGCGTGAACCCAGGAGCTATGAAGGTTTGTTCTGATACGCACACACAGTACGAAGCTCTCTTCTCCGCTTTTGCTCATGTTATTGTTTGGTGTTTTCCCCGGCAAGTGCCTCGCATGCGCTGACGCACCGCGAATTGTGACATGTCTCGAACCTTACTGCGAGCGCCGGGGAGTTCCCGGCGATCCGAGCGGCGATCTGAGTGGAGCTTCGGCAAGACGGAGACGGGAGAAACGGGTGGCACGGGCTTATGCGCACGGTCGATAAGGGACCTGCTGAGCGTGAATAATTAATTACCTGTTGAGCATCCAGGGTGCCGGTTTTCTGGCTCGTTGGGGACGCCTGTTAGAAAGCTGGCGAGATAAGTGAAATGTTTGCGCATTCCTAAGACAACAATTCACGCGACAACCCAACGAGAACTCATCGCTATATCGAAAACGGTTATGTAACGAGTTTCTCAAGCTGCAAGGGAATGCTAATAATTACAATCCAGATACAGAACTGCCTCAACAGAATCATCTTTTTATGTTTTCGCTAGATGCTTGCAATTTAAAGTCAGAGAATTACAGTTGCTATTCGCCGCACAATACAATGCAACAGCCCATTTTCCTGGCTCTACTTGAACTCCAGCAATACATAGCAAAGTACAAACAATTCAATTAATATTCTAATCAGTTTCCTTCATAGGCTTCCGGGATAGCATAGTGCAGCGAAAGTTTGAGAAAAACAACCTTGATCTACCCCGCCCCACCAAGCCATCTATCCCATCAAGGTTTGTTGAAAACAGGTGAAAAGGTGGCCAACGGAACGTGTCGGCCTCCCTTCGACATTCCCGTCCTAATGCGGGGTTTTTGACAAACTTTCACATAAAATCATCTCGTTCTACCAATTTCTGCTACTCCGTAATTGCTACAATTTTTTTCTCTTTTTGTTGCTGTACATAAACATGTCTCGATCAAATGGTCCATTTCGTCCCCCACGATGGGCCCAAAACAGTACCTCATTTAAGCTCCAGGCTTATCGTGATCAGTCGAAGACATGGCCTGCGTACAGCGATACAGTCCCAGACTACCTTTTCAGGGTGTATGACGCTACATCTCCTGGAACGACGAATAACAAATACGCGTCCTCGCCTGCAGCAGATGTAGGAGAGACGCACTTCTGCCGAGAAGACATCCTCCGGCGCGACACAGCCGCCCTGGAGCTGTACAGGCACCTCACACAGGAAGAAGTGGATGAATTGAAGAACATCGACGACAATTTGGTGTCATGGACATCCTCGCTTCTCGTTGCCCTCCAAGGGGCTTTCTACACGAGCGTCACAAAGCCCAGCCCTGCAGGCCTATCTGGAGTCCACATTCTGATGGTCGACACCAGCGGGTTCCACATGAATGTCTTCGCGAGAACTACGGAGGTCATGGGGCTACTCAAGGGGAAAAGCGAAAAGCTGGACAGGCTGCACAACGCCAGAACGGCGGCCCCTCCCACACACGACCTCAGCGAATGGCTCTCGCAATCATGCATCAATGTTACAGAAGACGGCTGGGTGTTCTCCCTGGAAAAGCTCATAGACTGCGGTCTCTTGGAGTTGTGCCCATGGTTTTCTGACCGTAGTAAGTGGTCGACCTGGGCAGAGCGTGTCGCCGAGTTGCGACAGGCCAACTTCGTTGACCATGAGCCCTCCACCGTTCAAGCCGATGAAGAGAAACGAGTGGATCTGGCTATCGTGGAATTGGCAATGGAACTGGTCGATGTAACACCAGCGGGTCCCGCGCTGGCCTGTATGTTCCTTGGGTTGATAAAGTGTCCGAATGGAAACTTAACGGCCCAAATACTCACTATTCATTTCACGAGTAAGTTCCTAGAAACATCCTTTGTTTCCCCCCAAAAACGCGTACCGGCCGGCATGAACTTCAACCAACATGCCTTACACATACGAGTGTGTACTGCTTGTGTAGAACACTGAATCGACTGACGATAACCTTGTAGCCGCGGCCATTTTTGATTGTTTCAAGACGACACGGGGAATCGTCCCTGAACCCGATAAAGAGAAACACCCCGAAGTGTGGGAGTATTGGAATTTGATGAGAACGCTCAGAAAGATGTGCGAATCAATGGACCGGCATCTGACATCCCGAGGGGGGCTCTCACAGCTGATGGAACAGGTCTCAATATCTACATATGGGAAGTCGAGAAAATTCCGCAAGCGTGAAGAATAGTTTTGGAAGGACTGGACCAAAAGCTCAAGTTATGGGCTGAATTCTTCTTGGATAATCGTTATGAAAGCTTCTTCATGCGGATACTGCTCAGTGTTTATAGTCTGGAACAAAATGGGTTTGGCTCTGAGTGATCGAAGCAGTCTTCAAGTCCCTGTGTACGTGCGAAGACCGAGTTTCTTAAGCAGCAACCTTCAACACATGAGAATAATATCCATGGTTCTCTGTTGATACAGAGCATCAACTGGGTTTCAGACTGCTGAGGGCCTGTACCATCAATCCTGAACATCGACAGTCCAATCCACAAATTCAAATGCCTGACGGCTAATTACAATGGGATTATTGGCTTCTGAGTGCTCCTAGGTGTGCCTATCCCCCAACACTTCCCAAGTCAAAAGGTCGCCTTTGAAATTGCACAGGCTATGTGCTTCTGAACAATATTCAGTGTAATGTAAGTGAACCGGGTAATCTTCTCACTTGATACGTTTTAGAGTGCATTCCTCTATATATGAAGATAATTTAATTATCCACTGACTAAAGTGAAGTCCTCCTGTATACTTGACTGTTCAGCAGTTGCGGTCGAGATCAAATGTCAACCGAGCTCAAAACTTAGCTCTGGTAGCCGCGGCAAGAGAGCTCACGACAACAGCTAGCAAGTACAAGATGTATGTCTGATGGTAGTTGCGGTTCAGGTCCATTTCTTCGGCATTCAGTCATTCACTCCTGTGATGCGCGCAAGTCTGATGTGGGAACCTGTCGTAGGGAGTTTACTCTGCATCTCGGTTTCTTCTTCGCCTGTGGGGCTCGCGCTTCTGTCTGGTTCACACGGAGCAGCTATCACATTCACGTCAACGGCTTTTCGAGCCTTGTAGCAGGGTTTTTTCAAGTACATCTGCTATGTCATGGAGGACGACGGTAACGTTCTTAAGCTTCCTTGTTCTTCTTTCTACTAGCTGTGATGAAGGCATGGGTACGCAGGTTAGCCTGAGACGCAAGAACCGGAGGGTGATCCAATGTAAACGGCAAGTAAAGCGGAACGCATTTTTATTGAGGACAGTAACTCTCACTCTAGGTCTTTGTGCAGAAGGTCTGTAGAGGTAGGAGCCACGTTGAGAGGTGAGAATTGGGGGATCAATGGTTGTGAAGAGGCGAGAGTCAAAGACTCAGATCCAACTCAGGGATTGAGAATGTCCCATTACAGCAACACACTCGCAGCCTCTTGATTCTTCAGCATCTAGAGTCTTAGTGACATCCCCCACGTCTCGGGAGGCATGAAGCAATGACATTGACCTCTCTGCCACAAACACTTTAGTGAGACGGTTGAAGTCGTTGAGATGCCTGACTTTGGCTCAGGGGCCGATTTGTCCAGGGTGCCGAACTTGAAACGCTCTAGAAGCCAGACCAAGAACGCCAAGCGAGAGCTCATCGTCTTGGTCGTGTCGGTGTAGAAACACAGCGCAATCCGGAGGCCATGGCGGTAGCGGACATCGCCCAGTGAGAGATCGCCGGACTAAAGTCAACCTTGGAACTTTAAGGTGTATGAAAACGACAGTATTGCCTACAACAGGGACAACGAAAATTACGCTTCCCTGAATTCCATCGGTGATAGAGTGACTTGCTGGCCAGTCAACTCAACATCATCCAATTCCATAGGGTTCTGTCTGGCTCAAGCAGAGCCTTCGTGTGGTGGCTTGATTTGCTGGCAGCTGCGCGGGGCTTTCGGCCCTTCAAGGTAAGACTAGGACTGCATGATGTTCAACTTGGAATAGCCAAGCAAGAGCCACGAGGTGACCACTTCATGTGGCCCGACATCCGTGCTTGCGACATGCGTCGTCGGACTTGGAAGAGAGTTGGAATAAAAGCCCACCATCAAGGTCTGGAAACTCTACCACCACGAATTGACAACCAGAGATTTCTAGCGCAGAGATGGCGGGCTCTGTCTTCTTATTCCCTTTGTCTCTGATATCTGATTGACGGGGCCCGGAGCGGATGGGGAATTCGATACCTCGTCGAACAGCGCCGCGTGGAATCGCTAGCCATTGTCCTGACGAGGATTCGATGTCTAAGAGGTTTCAACAACACTTCAGATGTCCAATGCCAGGGTCGTGAGCCATCTGGCTTGGCTGAGATCGTGGGGTTCTAGCCTGGAGTTGTTGCGAGACAAGTTTTGTGGGAGGACGGGCAAAGTATGTTGCCTTCAGCGCGATGGCGACATCGCGCAGATTCCTCTTCCACAGACGAAAGATTTGCATATTCTCTTTCGGGACGAGGTCCCGTCTGGCGAATAGTACAGATAGGTGGCTGCGGGCTTGAGGAGACGAATTCGATGTATAATCGCATAGAGACCGATCTGTCGCAGTAGCAGCGCAGCTCCATTGGCAAGAGAGCCACCCAACTGAAGCGTGACTCTGCTGCCCATCTCTTCAACAAAATCATCGACCGGGCGTCGGCAATGTCGCCCGTGAATGGTTTGAGATTCGGGAACACTCTCACCGCCACCACGAACATGATTGCCACCTTCCTCCAGCCCAAAGAGTTCTGATCCTGGTGCCGCACTTGTAGGCTTTGGTCCTTGCCAAATCCGCTACTCGGGCCGGCAGGAGTAGCGTCATTTACAGACCAGTGTCATCTCCTTGAGACTCAGTGGACTTGACTCTGTGGAGATTTCGTCCTCCTTCGTACGTTGAAGGGCGATTACCACTAGGCCTTCCACCAGAGAAGCTGCTGAGACCTGCTCGAGTGTGCCGAGACAGAATTGTCTCTTCTCGATCATTTGGTCGACAATATCAACAACGAGAGTCCGATCTCTTAGACAGAGAGGAGCCATTTGTGACATCCTCTTCTGCCCACACAAGGCGGCCACACACATGGCCGTAGATTGCCTTGAGGCAGTTGAACACCAATGCAAAGACCGCCTTGCACGCTGTCATGTTCGGGTAGTATTGCGAACAACAGAGCATTCAGTGTAGCTGTCGGCCAAATAGCCAAGGGTCCGACGATTGGCAGTCAGAGTAGTGAATGTTGCCGGTGTTCGAGACATTCGTTCACCGCGTCTGTGGCACACAGCTTGCTTTTTCTAAGGCCTGCATGGGCCAGATTGCGGAAATATTCATGAACCCCAAATATGTTCTCTCTTCAGTTCGCAAAAAACGGTTTAAGCATTGGCTGCAGTCTTATTTCTGCTGCCATCAGTGATTGGCGAAGAGCATGACGTTTCCAACATTCCTGTTCTAGATACCGTGGACATCTTCGGCGGTAGGGGTTCGGGGTAGTGCCTTGTGCTTCTCGTATAATCGTACTGACTCTGTCATCATCTGCATCCAACGACAGGGTAGTAATACAGGGGTCGACGAGATGCTCCTTTTCCTCTGGGAGAAGCTCAGCGACCAAGCGTTGGGGGCTTGGTACTCCGTCACAATCCATAAGACAAGACCCGCGGAATTATATCAAGATGTCCTCAATTGCGTTCAACTTCGTAGGTGATTAATGGCGATATTGGTGTATTTGATTCGTTTGACAGAAGCTAGAATGGCTTTTTGTCGTTGTTCATGCTTTCTCGCAAGGCCCGCCAAAGACGCCGACGAGATAAAGCCCGGGGTGCTGCCCTGAGCAAGTGAGATCTGCGCAATCCCTATCCTGTGTTTCAAATCTGCGTGTAGAGAATGGGCGAGGGCCTGTGGAGATACATGGGCTAGTACATGAGCCACGAGAGAGATATGTCATCGAAGGCCAGTTAATCCGACGGAACTAGACGTCATAAGATGGGCCCGGTGTCGATGCGCTTGATAGCACACAGAGAGTAGTCGTTTTTGCATTGTCCTCTCCTCTTGCGAGGATCGGGCCAGAAGACCAATCAGGTCGAAAGTCGAGACTCGAGACTGATCTCGGCGTCGCGATCATTCGTGCTAATTCGGATGCCATGATCTTCTGGAGGAAGAATAAGAAAGTTGAAGATGAATATGCCGCGGTTGCTTGGGCTCCTGGGTATTGAGTATGATGAGGAGTAGAGGGTCCTCTTTTTCGCAACATCAACAGGACTGGTCAGAAACACATCGAGGTACTCGACAACGCTGCAGAGAACCAAGCTCCTGTCATGTGTTCGTCGGTAAATGTCGCCGGCTCTCTAGCGTCATAGTACTCAGCAAGATTTCGCATGTTGTTCGCCCGCAAACCAGAGCATGCGCAACTCGTCCAGGCTGTACTTGACTCATAGCCGAGATGTAATCGCGGACAATGAAATAGCTTGGCGTATCCGGTAGATGACCGCATCAAAGCTGGTCTACTGTTCAAAGACCTGGAGAGCAACACAGCGTCTCAGAGAGCTGCGGAGATGCAAGCTTGAACTTACCCTAAGTAGATGATGTCCAGTTGCCTAGCATCCGAAACGTCGTTCGCATTGAATGGAAAATGTTGCGACCAAAGAAGACTGAGGTACCCAGTCATATCTGAAACGCCAGACATGAAGGGTATTGCAGTGAGAATCCAGGTCATCAAGACATATGTTCAACCGAGAAAAGACGAGGTTGGTGCTTGACGCTGAGTTCTTGATTGCGTGACCTTCGTCCGCGACGCCCATAGTGAATTTGATCCAGGCGGGCAAAGTTGATGACTGAGCAGACGGCAAGTGGATCTTGGGACAGACCGGGCCCGGCCAAGCACCAGCACTCGATGTGATATACATCTACAATCCCTCAAACGTGGAGAATGGACCAGAAGCAACACATGGCTGTTGTCGATGGATGCGTTCTGGGCGGAATTACGAAGAAGGTGCGGCTTCCTTGAGCATCCAAGCAGAGGCTGATGCTTAAGTAACGAGGATCTTGTCCCAAAGATGTCCGGGATATCGTTCGACGTCATGCCTGACCAAATCTAGAACTCAGGCGAAGACGGCGGTAGTCTTCGGACCTGATGTTGCCTTGGACACGGCTGTCCAGAAATGAGAAGCTAACCACCGTATCCCGCGATCAGCGCACGGATCCGGCTTGCTGCATCCATTCGCTCAAGGACCGAGGTAGAATAGAGAAGAGCAGCTCTCGATACCAATAGCACCATGCCAATATCTTCCTTGGTTAGACCGTTGTTGACAACATAGTGCCTGTCTTCAGCCCAATAGAAGATGAACGTCAACCAGAGTCCAGACGGATAAGGATGAAGAGGTAATCAGGGGCCAGTGGGCGATTGGTACTGAAGGAGGTTGTGTAATTGCTCCGATGAAAAGATCGCCACCAGGACGTCTTCGTGCTTCTCGTACACCACTCCTAACCGGTTCAGAGAAACCAGAACGCTGGTCTGATCTGGTGACCGAGCAGAGCCAGAAAAGAAGAACATCTCAAGATGCCATCTGCGACAATCACGCCGAGTTCCATCGAAAGTCGCTCGTGATAACTACGAGGAGCCTGGCTTGGCTTAGATGTGCTGGAATCTCATCTCGCGTGATTGAGTCGATGCCCCCTGAGGCGAAGACGAAGAGAGAAGATGCGGCCAGACTACAACCCGACAGCAGTTCAACGCTCGGGCTTGATCGGCGAGAGAGATCGTGAGGGTTGTCAACCATCGGATGTCATGGCTGTGAATACTTCTCACAGCACATATGTTCGATGCCGGAGAAGCTCTCTCCCCTCAACTAAACCCCCAGGAACACTGCCCTCAGCTCGATCTTAGACGGACAAGACTCTAGCTTTCTGGGATTTTGTCCTTGGTCATGTCTTTGATCCTAAGTACGTCGATGGTCAGAAATCCACGGAACTCGGGTTGCCGTCATATCCAGGGATGGCCTCGTTGTCAAGCATCAAATCTCAGCCCCTGTCTTCACGACAGTCTTGTAGGCCGAACTGAAGGCCTCGCCAATGACGCCGAGTCAAATCCACGGCCGCTGCGCTCACATGCAGTTGCTTGCTTTATGCGGTGGAGGGTATGCTGTTCATGCGAGTTGCAGGTTGTCCGCGAGTAGACTAGCCAAGAGAAACACGTTACGAGTAATTCCGCCTCGGGCCCGAGAACCAGGTACGAGATTGTGCTTCGCGTCCCGCTACGAGCGTGCATTGTGGATTGACGATCCCGAGGAGACAACAATTAGCGACGGCCAGCTTGTTTTGCCGATCAATCTTCAGCGTTTGTGACACTGGTAGATCATATACGTCCGTTGGCCGATCCGATGTGGAGGCCGAGGTCCGACAGCGACGACGGGAGCACGGTCTTGACGTAGCGGTGACAGGACTACAATTGTGAATGTCCTCGAAGAGCGTGCAAGGGCCCGTGAGTGGAAGATAAAAAGGCCAACAGCAGTCCTTGAGACAGAATCTGCCCTCAGTAGTTCCAATCGTCCTAGGTCCACGATGCCGGATATGTCTTCGCCTGTGACTAGCTTTCGCGGTCTGAATAGAAAAACTCCGTATGTCTGAGGTCGAATAGCCCGGCGCAATGTAGATGGTTGGTGACGTGGAAAGCC